AAGCTCTTGTAGAAAATTTGTTTAGGCCGGGTAGGTAGGAAATTTGTTTAACCGAGTAGGTAGGAAGTATTCTAGACCGGATATAGGTAGGAATAAAATTGTAAAATTAGGATCAAGGCATGTGTCATGCAGCCTTAATCCTGATTAATAAACCTAGTAGTGTTTAAGATAGATGTTTAAGGTAGGTAGGATATAAGAGCAGGTCTAAACTTAGGAAAGATGCAAATGCACTGATTGATGTGAATCATTGCATATGCATGTAGATTAAATTCCGTTTATGTAAGGGTAAATTACACTTATTGTATGTAAAAACTATAAAAAAATTTCAATAATAAGAAATCGAATTGTGAAACATTAGTAAAGAAAATTTCACTGAGAGTTTAATGTGCGATAAGGAGAATAGCATGCAACAAGTGTAATTTCGCCAGAAATATTGTCACGCGCGCGTTATGCTTTATATGTTTCATTATGTATGTATTTTATTGTATCAATGTATATGTAAAAAATTTGTAAAATTGTAAAACTCAAAAATTGTAACACACTCTGATAAATTGTAATACACCGGTAAAAGATATATTTTTGGAAAATGCAACTTTTCATACACACATATATTTGTGTACCGTCAAATCAATTTTAAATAATGTGCTTATTTTGTTTCTTTTTATTTTGTAATGTAACTATACGTATGTACATATGTAGCGTTTGTAAAAAAAATAAAAGCACAAATAGCGGCAAATGATGATAAAGGAGATGGTACCTTAGTACACTCCACGAATTCTGATGCTGCTCGCTTAAGAACATTCCTTTGTTGACAATCACGTGTATGTTGTGTGGGAAGTTGCAAATTTGTATATTTTCCATTCCTTCCTGTCCTCCTTCCTGAGTTCACAAATCGGCTATTTTAATTCTTGAAATAAATCAAATCGACGCACGCTCGTAACAGCTCGCGGTATTCACACACCTGTAGAAACGCGAAACATATATAGTAATTTGATATTATTCGATTCTAATAGCAGCAAATGATGTGCTTACTTGATTATACTCNATCCTGCTCCGTAGTAATGTCGCGACACACTTTCTTTTCGAACGCGTTTCGCGGAAAAGCGGACGACCGCGATATAATCTCACCGCAATGCTAACCAATTAGCAGTACTAGCAAACGCGTTATACTAATTCCGTATCACCACGAATGTCCNACATTTCGCCACACACACGTACCACCGAAAATTACGCGCGAAACGCAATAATAATCGCGAAAAATACGAAGAAATTCAAACATCGTTCCGTCCGGTATCGCGCGTCCGCCATGACTGACCGCCTTCGAGAATCGCAATATCGAAGCGCGCGATATTGCGATTCTCGAAGTGTCGAACGCGCGCGCGTCGGTGCGATGTTCAAATCTCTCACGCACGTAGGAACGCGAGAGCAAAAGGAAAAGAAACTGGTAAAAATATNACAAACAGAATAATTAAAATGGTTTCTTCTGAGCACTGTCTAATCGAGAGAAAAGTTAAATTTTGAAAAATAGCGTTTTATTCACTTGCGTCGAATTTATCGATGTGACTACGTAGTTCAGAAACCGTTCATGTCGCGGCGCTCGAGCAAACGCTCTCGGAGGCTTCTCCTGATATCACGGAGCAGAATCAAACCAATCGGTGAGGTTAACATTTTGTATTACCGAAATTCAATCATATGAAGAGGAAAGAACATGGACATCACAGCGCTCGTGGATGTAAACACGTGAAATGTGTTTATGGCTTTTCTGTCGGATAAAAGAAAATTATCAAGTTTAATTTGAGTCGTTATAAATTTATATTTGTGACAACATAATGTTATTTCAAGATAGTCAGTACGATAATTGGACGGATGATTTACCAGTTTGCAAACAATCCGGTAAAATTTATCGACGCTCCCTGCGATTGTATTTGTCAGCAATAAAAAACGTCCGTTGGAATCATCGTATCTTTTATATTATTTATTATTTAGGCGTAGGTTTTTCCACCAATCAGATCTATCGTGAGGATGGGTACCGACAGGAAGAACATCCTTTCGAGGACCGCAGTTTTCACTGCAGATACGATGATTCCACATTTCTCTACGCGGTGTTCGACGGTCACGAGGGAACAAAAGGAGCAAACTTCGCGATGCAAAGAATGGCTGCGGAGATTTTGCTCGGGCAGTTAAGTGGCAAATCGACCGATGAGGAAGTAAAAGAGGTTCTCCGGTAAAAACCTGACCCCAGCTTTTCATAGCAGCAAAAGTTAAATTGTTTTGATTCAGTTTTAGTTACTGGAATTATTTTACAGTCAAGCGTTTATAGCGGTCGAAAAAGGATACTTGGAATCGATCGGTGACCTCTTGGCTGAACGTGCTAGTTTACAATTTGACATACCTGATGGGTTGACTTCTTATGAAACCTATCAGAAGTTCCCAGACTTGGTTAGACTTGCAATAATAAACATTAAATATTAAACAGTCACGGTTGTTTACACAATTGTTTAGGTTGTACAATTGATTCCTTCTGCAGGTTGACAAGCTCAATGCTTTGAATTGCGAATTATCAGCTGGGACCAGTGCGGTGGTCGCTTTGGTTTACAGAGGGAAGTTGTACGTTGCGAATATAGGCGACAGCAGAGCGTTGTTGTGCAAAACAGACAGCAACCAAGTTTTGCGAGTTGTGCAATTAAGCGTGGATCATGATTTAAGGAACGAGGACGAGCTTTTGCGATTGTCTCAACTCGGTTTGGACGTTGAATCGATCAGGCAAGGTATACTTGCCGTATTTCGATCTTTTGTGCCATTGTTTGTAAACTTGTGCCATTAGAAATAACCTTGCAGGTTCTCATCTCGGAAATCAGGAGAACACACGCTGTCTCGGCAATTATCTTGTCAAAGGAGGTTACAGAGAGTTCGAAGAGCTGGCGCCTTCCATTGCGGAACCGATTATCGCCGAGCCAGAAATCAGCAGTAGTGTAGAGCTTGACGAATCGTGCAGATTCTTGTTGCTCATGTCGCGCGGTTTGTACAAATCATTAGAAGAAGCTACTGGTACCGATCAAGTCAATAAAGAACTGGCCCTGATAACAGTCGAGCAGGTATTGTGCAATATCAAACAATTCTTTTTCAATCTTTAGGTCAGCCTAGCCATTAGAGTGGCTCTAAATCTGCATGATAATTTTATATATTTTGGATATCAAATATAGATTTCGTGGAAAAAAATGCCGGTTTTCTCGAGACTGAGATGTTTCTTGACTTCCATTTTTGTTTCATTGCCGTTTCAGTTTCGTGTACAATCGACCTTGACCGGCGTCGCACAGGCAGTGGTCGACAAAGTCGTGAGGATCCATCACGACGTGAACATGAGCAACACGCAGAACATGATGACCACCGGCAAACGCGACGACATAACCCTACTGGTGCGGAATTTCAATTTCCCATTGCCTAACGCCTTGAAGAGTCCGACTGGTCAGTCCGTTAGATTTAATCCCGTGGTGCAGACCGCGCCGATCAGCATGCTGGACAACGATGATTTTTCGAGCACCGACACCGGCATGACCGAGGAAAAGTTCGACACCTCAACGACGGAGACATCGACAACGTCGGACCTGTATCCGCCCGGCAGAATGGCGGAACGTAACACCAGGATCAAGCCTTATGTAGATTTTTCCGAATACTACGAGAATCTCGAGAAAAGAAAACAAGAAGAAACCTTGCCGGAAGGTATAAACTTTTAAAGTTATTTACTTTTATTTACATAATCGAAGGGAGTATCCGAATTGTGTGTCTGTAAATATGCATCATATGTAAATAAAACTTTCGTATCAAGCGTGATTTTCCACAACAATCTAATGATTCTCAAAGCACAAACGTTTCCATCAACGCAATCTCACGGATCCTCCTTTTCCCCTACACGATATAAAGAATCAAGATAAATAAAATACGGAAAATGAAATAAACAACGTCAAAACGTGCAAAAGTCGAAGTTTTCCGATTCTTAAAAATCGCATTTGCGATTGGCCGATTTTTGTTTCGACGCGTATTTAATGAATTTTTTTTCTGAAAAAATTAAAAGAAAATAATGCGCAATAAAAAAACAAACGCCAACAATAGCTTTCTCTCATCTTATGTATTTCCTCTTAAATGTACACTTGGACGTTACAATGGCAACATGAGAAATTATACAAAGGAAGGTTGTTGATAAATTCAATATAAAAAATGTTTACATCTTGGAAATGGCGTTGAGGCCACTTTATTTTTATTTGTCTCTTAACAGTGTTCGAACGCGAACACTTCTCGATATAAAACACGTGCTTTAATCTATGTGTACATATGTATGTAACATCTATGTATACATATATGTGTGTAAACTATATGTATACACAAGTGTGTATGTGTGATGATGATGATCGCGATATCTCATATTACAAAGTCTTACGTAATTTTTAGTAAGTTAAATTTTCGATCTAGCGCGCGTTACTCGATATCTTTCTCTCTTGCTCTAGGACGAGACTCGATAAATTGTCTTTTCTTTACGATCCTACATCTATCTGTCTGCATTAAACGCCATTTGTTTGCCAGAACGTTTATATCGCGAAAAAGGACTCGCAGAAATAAAGCTTCGAGATAGCTTTACGAAATTCAACAGAAATACAGATTCTAGTCTGTATTTCTGTTGTGCAGCGGTGTGTTAATAGTCTTTATGTGCCGCTGAGTGTGTTAGAAGTCGGCGAGAGAGCGCGAGCATCGTAAGAGAAAAGATATTCTGTAACGTTGATACACCGCTAAAGCACGTAGACTTCCGTCAAATGCTATCAGATTATTTCGCGTGATTGCTCTCGTGATTTACGGCGCGGGCATCATCTTCAAGCGTTCGAACGCCCCCTTTTCGAGCTCCTCTCTGTGATCCGGATGAGCGATCTGGATCAGCTCGTAGGCACGTTGCTGAAGACTCTTGCCGAAGAGACTGGCGATTCCGTGCTCGGTCACTACGTACCGCACTACAGCTCTGTTAGTCACCACTCCGGCACCTGAGAAAACGTTACGATGTGAGAAAGCAAATAAATAGCGAATGATTGAAAGATTGTTCCGCGATGTGATTCGTCCACTTACCAGACGCTAGGACCGGTTGTATCTTGCTGCGGCCTTTCGCGGTAACCGACTGAAGCGCTATGATCGGTTTCCCCTGCCGATCCTCGCTTATCGCGGCGCCCATGATGAAGTCCATCTGTCCGCCGAAACCGGAGTACATTCTCGTACCGATACTGTCCGAGCAGATCTGACCGGTGATGTCCACTTCGATGCACGAGTTGATGGCCGTCATCTTCGGTTGCTTTGCCACTATTCGGGGATCGTTGACGTAGTCTACCACGAGCATCTCTGCAACGAGAAAAATTCATCAGTTAAAATTGAAAAAAAAAAAAAAAGAACAAGCGTAGAAGCTTCAGAAAATAAGAACAGAAGATTGAAGGAACCTAACCTATGAAAGGATTGTTGTGCATGAAGTTGTAAAGCTTTTCGGAACCGACGCAAAACGAGCCGACGATCCGGCCGCGGTGCATCTTCTTCTCATTGTTCGTGATGCAGCCCTTGTTGACGAGATCTACCACGCCGTCGCTGAACATCTCGCTGTGAACACCCAGGTTCTTGTGGTTTTTCAGTTCCGACAGCACGGCGTCCGGTATGCTGCCGATACCCAGCTGCAACGTCGCGCCGTCCACCACCAAATTCTCGGCGATGTGCTTGCCAATCTGTTGCTCGGCCTTCGAGATCGGATGAACCGCATGAACTGGCAGCGGCTGATGATGTTCCACGGCGAAGTCCAAGTGGCTCATATGGACGATAGCGTCGCCGAAGGTCCTGGGCATGTGCTTGTTGACTAAGGCTGCAAAGTCACGACGTTCCTTGAAAACCCCATCCATCGAGAGATGCGCGAGCGTTCGAGATCTTCCGAGATTTACCTACGATACGTTTGGAATGACTGATGGCGGCCCGGGCGCAGTCTACGCTGGTGCCGAGCGAGCAGTAACCCTTCTCGTCCGGCGGGGACACGTGGATGAGCGAGATGTCGGGTTTCATATAACCCTCGTTGAAGATGCGCGGGATCTCGTGCAGGAAAATAGGAATGCAGTCGGCGGTGCCGGCGTTCACCGCGGGTCGCACGTTACCGCCGATGAAGAAACTGATGGACCTGAAGTGTTCTAAGTACGTTCTATTATAAATTATCAAGTTTTAATTAAATATTCGCGGGGTTTTTTTACATTCCTTCAACTCGTTCGCTTGGTTCGGCGAAATTTTCTTTCAACAGTCTTCAAAATATTAAATAAATCCACAAACGTAGAGTTCCAACAAAAGTTGGGCAACAATGACTTGTTAGATAACGAAAATAAGAAAACACATAAGTTGTTTTTTACATTAACATTCAAGATATAGAACGACGAGCCGTCTGGCACAAAAGAGCGCGGAACAAAGCAACGCGTTGAACAGCAAGTTGTTATTGCGATATTGCAAATAAAGGAAGATTACGACTTGCAACGCACTTGCGTTTTCAGGCTTGGCGAACGGAGCCGGACCCTCGAGATGCATGTGACACAATCGAACGTTTCTCACATCGCAGCGTACACCGTAGTCGGTCATCGCCCTCAACAATTCAACAGGCGTCGCCGCCGCGCCCTGAACGTACACCACCTGATCTGCAAATGAAAAATCAAGGGTCAAGGTTCGTCTCGTCATCGTCGAGAATTGAAAACTTGCCAGAGACGGAGCTTCTGTTTGACGTTTGTAAAATAATTCGCGTACGGAACAACAAAATGCGATTTCTTGACCTATCTCAACGCGCTTCTTACGTGAAATTGAACGGCACACATTATCTGATATTGGTAAGCCCGACTTTTGCGATTATATCGGCACGTTTTGCACGTAAATTGAAGAGATTTCCTCGAACGATAAAAATTCATTTATACGTTACATGTTTATATTATCGTCAGCTCAGCATGTAACACTATTCGATAAAAAGCGCATTGATAAAGATACAACTTTTCTGACACAGAAGAAGGACTTTGTATCTTGTACCTTGCGTTCTATGACGATGACGTTTTTCACATATCAAAGATTACGGCAAGCCTAATGTTTACATTGATTTATCTTTTGAATGACGTTGAGTGACAACAAAACGCGGGTGTGTCTCCTCCAAGATATCAAACATATCTTTAAACAAACGCTTTTATCCGTCTAAGACCATCCTCGTAAAACCTATCCTGAGAATTGATCAGTTACAATCGATTTATATTCGAAAATGACAGCCTTGCTCGAAAATTCCGTAACGTGATTGGCTAATTCCTGCGATATGTCTTACGTTACGGTGTAATTTGTATGTATGTGAAGGCCTTTGTTTGACATTCGATTGCTCGCTGAACAGATGTGACTTAATCAGCAAATTTGGAGAAAGTAAAGTTTTACGCGCTGAGTGTTTCGTATAATATCTTCACACACACGGTGAATATATTATCGTTATCGATAATGTAAATTTATGGTGTTGGCGTTGTCATTAAATGTAATTGGCGGTTTGTTTCTTATCGCGCGTGTACGTATCTTATCAAACAGAAACCTTTCAATCAAAGTGCAAAGGATTGAAATTTTCTGACACACATTGAGAACTGACGCACATTTTGAAAATATTCGAATATTGTTTCAATGCGCTTTTTACATAAAATATCGCACGAAAATCAATTAGTTCTCTTCGTTATTATCGAAGAGACACGGTATACATACAATCAGAGATTTATTTTGGCAGTAGATTTCAAATTTCGCAATCAAATTCAAAAATAATTTACAAACGAGACAAAGAAATTTTTTTGGAAGTCTTTTCGAAAAATGTTTTCTTTTTGTGATTATCAACGGAAAAAATGTGATCTGTCCCGCACACACAACATTGGCAGAACTTTACGTTGGTGATCTATATTTAAACGCGAGAGTTAGACTTTGATATTCGCATATACAGAGACGCGGCTCTATATCGGCATATTTGCATGTCGAGGTCGATGTTGACGAATTCAATTCTTTCAGCATTTAACCGCAACATCTGTGATGAGCGTTTTTTTCTTCTTTTCCGCCGATTTGCAAACGGAAAACACACCGTGGAGAAACGATAGCCGAACGATGTTTGAAGAATCTCTCGTCTGTGAATTTGAAAACAAAAATAGACAAAGAAAACAAGAGAAAGTGGCGTTGAAATTCTTTCGATGCTCAAAGGTATCAGGAAGTAATCGATTCTGTAACCGACCTCTCATCGATTGTCAATTTGCATATCAGGCGAACGAATTATTTAATCGATTTTTATTAAATAAATTGTACAAAGCTCGTGCTTCAACTAGTAGAGTCAAAAAAGAACCAATGAGAGCCAATCGCTCCAATATGCGAGCGCGAGGTATATTGTTTTTTAAACGTGTAAATTAACACGCGTGGTAATTCGAATTAAATACAATTGTTAATTAATGTGCACTTTTCGTGTAAAATAAATTTTTATCTTCGTGTTACAACTTAAAGCCACACGGGGAAAAGCGCAATAAAGATTTGCAAAAAATTAATTACCACATGGCCAGCAAAAACAATTTGCTAAGTTTGTTGAGATTTCCGTTTCGCCAACAAAAAAACGTTTTGATAAAACAAAAGACTCAATAATTTTTCTTGCTGACCGTGCAATAAAAAAACTTGTTTTCCCGTGCGTACGGTGATTTTTAAACTGATTGCGTAACCGGTTTGGAATAACGTTGAATTCATAAAGCATAGGAAATGCGCGTATTCATTGCAACATTCATGAGACACGCTTACATTAATAAATAGGACGTTCGCAATTTTCCTGAGAATTTTATGAAATACTCAAAAAACAAAAAAAAGAACAATTGAACGAGACAAATCATGCGAATTGAAATGATGACGCGCTCGACGTTGCTTATCTGCAAACAAATTTTCGAACGCGAAGGTCGTACAAAAATAATGCCGTAAAATTCAAGGCAAACGACGCACTAAGTATATATTCTGTGTCGGCCTGGCAATCGATTATCTCGCAAGTGGCGACTTGACACGGCGCGAAATTCGGCCCGAAAACAAATAGAATCAAGCGAGCCAGAAGGTCTCGGCAAATCTGCGTGGATGCGCAACGAGTGCATCAAATACACCAGAGCACGAATGTCGCAGCCTGCGATTAAGCGTTTATCTCATCTTCTTTTTCATGATGAAAATCATTAGTTTTCTTTCCTGCGTAACAGCCAGTAAATATATATTAGTAATAGATTATATATATATTAGTAATAGATTATTGTTAATTAAATGTATATTATTATTATGTTAGTAAAATACACATTATTATATTATTTGGCATAAACAATGTAGAATTTTGTTAGAACAATACAGAATATCGTTCTATATTGTTTACGCCAAATTATACGAGATTTATAACGCTTGTTTGTCGATAAGCAAACGGTGTAAACAAATGCTCGCGAGGAAAACGTTACATTACAAAGTCCAAAATACACAGAATGGTTTGTCAATCAATCGCAGAATGTTGTAACTTCGCATATAAAATTCTTATCGACGCGCGACAGCTGTTATTGAATTGAAGAGTCTCGCTTGTAATTTTTGTTGTTGTTAACTTCGCTGGATATCTCATCCGGCACACACACACACCGTCCTTGTTTAATTCAGTAAGCGAGCAATATAGTAACCGCCGGGAGGAAGTGCCGCAGTCCAGAGCTTAATGAATCGGTCTTGCAAATTGCGTTTGATCAACCGCGCGTTATCCTCGCGCGCGCATTCCGTTTAATTGATCCTGGATTAGCTACGAATGAAAGTATATTTGTTGATAACAGGATATTCTGCGTAGTATCTTATTACTCGAAGAGCAAAACGTTGTCGGATTGGACGACGGAACGATCAAATGTGATATGATACAACGTAATCAGAGATACTTGTGATCCCCAACATGTTTCTATATCTGTCTCTCTGCATTACACGGTGCAAGGAGGATGATCTAACGCACGCACACGCGCGCACACACACACAAAGAATTCCAATTCGCTTTGGTCACAAACATCAAGTCACACGCATACGTCATCAGAGTTTCAAGATTTGCGTTTGGTTTGCTGTTGTGGCTAACGGACCCCTAGCCAACGGCTAGTGGGTCATCAAATGTATTTACAAACATACACACACATACGTAGCTTCTAATAGCAATTCGCCGTCTCTATTTGAGTCAGGACGCGTAACGCACGTCTAAAAGCGGCGGTCAATCATTTTTCGCTGCTGTTCCTCAGAAGCGAAATGTTGACTTTCTGTTCTCTTCTTTGCGTAACGCGTTCCGTCAGCAACCGGATTGACTTTTGCGGGAAGAGGAGAGCAGAGAGTCCGGAAGAGTTCTCGGTCCTCGCGGCACGAGGATAGATTCAAGAGGATCCGTTCGCTGAATGTCCTCTGGATATTGCGATATTCGATGGACATCGGTGTTCTCTCGGGACATCGCGTGTAATCGATCGAACGAGAAAATCTCGCTTCGGAAGGCGAAGAAAAAGCACCGCTCGATACAGTACCTGAGTCGAGTTCGGACTTCTCGATGGCCTCGTCGGCGGTTTTCAGCCAGCAGGGTTCCTTGCCGGGGATCGGCATGGACGGCTCGTTGACGTATGTGAAGTAGGTCTTCCTCGTGGTGCGATCCTGGAGCCAGGATCGCGACGAGGTGGTCATCGTCGCGAGCGCCCGGTGGGTCAGGCCGGTGATTCGTTTGAGGGCTGCCATCGCTGCGGCAGCCGAAGAACTTGCGGGAGTCCGAGAGTAACGGCTACCTCCTACCTGTCACAAGTCGTACACCTGATCTGGCGATGCGAACGCACGGATAACACTGCGCGCGTACACGTTTCCGTGAAAGACGCGACCGACCACTGCCTCACGCTCACGGCACTTCCACCGCCGCGCCAACACGATCGAGTGTCAGACGGCGACGGCGGAAAACAAAAACCCGTGAACGCAGCGGGGTATCGCGTTGCGAGCTCTCGAGAAGTCGCGTCACGAGACTCGCATCTGACGTCAGGTCGGACGCGTGTCACACCACGTCTCTAACGAAACGGAGACGGAGAGTTCTTCAAGTAAAAGAAAAGACGAAAGAGAACGGAACGAAGAGATCGGGAAAGAAACGCAGCGCGCGGAGAGAGCGAGACCGAGACGAGGTTGTTCGTTTGATTTACTTGTCGCGTTGTCGCGTCGCGCGTTTGAAATACCCGCCATTTCTCCACGTCTCGAGAGCGAGTTACGTGACAGGTCGCGGTTTTCGCCCGAACCTCGCGAACAAACTCGTCGATATTCTCCTTAATTTCTCATTTCTCGCTTTTTCTGCTTCGGACGCGGATGTGTCTCGGTAATTCGCGCGAGATAAAACGTTCAACGATTCACCTAGTCCGAGCCACGTGACTGCACGTGCTTCGCGCTCCGTCCTTGTCGCTCCTTCAAAACACACCGCCGCCTCGTCTGGCAACTGTCGCGAATTCGTCGAGAAAACGCGATTTCGTTTCTCGAGTCGGGGAAACAATTTCAAGTTGTTCGCTCGCGAGATCTCTCAAATTCCGTTTCGCACCTCGGGGAGAATTCCACGTTTGTTCGGTCGATCGCGCGAGTCCGCACTCGCTCCGTCCGTCTCTTTCTCGCCGCGGCGCCCGTCCCTCCCTCTCGCTCCGTCTCTCTCGCTCGGTCGACGCTGCGACGGAACAGTATCTTCTGCTGTCTCGTCGGAGTGAGGAGCAGTCGCTGCGACCGATAGCAGAGTGTGGCACAAATTGGACCCGTAGACGCAACTCGAGATGTATTCGAAAACCATCAGCGGCCACCAGGCGAATCAGGAACACGTTCTCGCCGTGTCCCGGGACTTCGTCGCGCAGCCCCGTGTCAGTGAGTATTAAAACGACAGAACCCCCCCCGTGAACAAGAACCACGACATTGGGCGTAGCAGCGACTGATCGATCCTCAACTGGGTCAGCTGATACCCGAAATAATCGGCCCACGAGGATGCCTCGCGCGCGCGAGGACCCGGGGAACCGATCGCGGTTGTTCCCCGGCTCGCGGACGTTCTCGGGATGATGTTATTCGCCGAGAAACGTCCGCGAAGATTCGGCCGTGGCCCGAGGCCGAGCTGTCAGCGTCATGTGACTGCAGACGACGACTCGTGCTCGCTCGAGCTCGCGCGAGCGCGCAATTTGTTCTTTTAAGAATCGCGTTTTTTTGAAGAGGAAATACGAATTTCCGACACGCCAACGTAAGTCGGGATGTTAAAAAATCGACAGAAATGCTTACGCTTGATCATTTGATAACATACGTTTGTTCACAAATTTGTGACTTGTGTTATCAATGTCTGTGAAACTGTGACATAACACAAAGAAAGGTGTGTCATTGTCCAACGATACTTGTCACATGCTTGACACTTGTAAGGCGTAAATTAATAATAAAGTATTTTATTGTTGTTTCTATCTGTATGAGATATTGGAGATATCAATAAGATTAATCTTCAGAGTAGGTTTTATTTTGCTAATGTAAAAGTGTTTTAAAATATTTACCCAGTTTTTATTTATTTCATTAAATAAAAATTGAGAAATATATTTTTTTTATTTATTTGATTAGATAAAATACAAGATATACGTTGCATACAATCTCTTAAATAATCTGGACAATAAGCAACCTGTAATGTCTTCCAGCGTACAAAACAGTGTCTGGAGTAAACGGACCTCTGGTGATATTGGATGAGGTGAAATTTCCGAAATACGCCGAAATCGTACAACTTAAGCTCGCCGATGGCTCTCTGCGTTCCGGCCAAGTGCTGGAAGTCTCCGGTTCCAAAGCCGTGGTCCAGGTCTTCGAGGGCACGTCGGGCATCGACGCGAAAAACACTCACTGCGAGTTCACCGGCGACATTCTGCGAACTCCGGTATCCGAGGACATGCTTGGCCGCGTGTTCAACGGATCCGGCAAGCCTATCGACAAAGGACCTCCGATTCTAGCCGAGGACTTTCTGGACATTCAAGGACAACCTATCAATCCGTGGTCCCGTATCTATCCGGAAGAGATGATCCAAACTGGCATATCGGCCATTGACGTTATGAACTCCATCGCTCGCGGACAGAAAATTCCCATCTTCTCTGCTGCTGGTCTGCCGCACAATGAGGTACAAAATACATTGCGTTTTCCGAAGTATTCGAATTCAAATCCGTGACAATTCGCTGCGTTACGACAAACTTTGTTTCTTTCTATCGCAAAACAGATCGCCGCACAAATCTGTCGTCAAGCAGGTCTTGTGAAAGTACCCGGCAAGTCCGTTCTCGACTCGCACGAGGACAACTTTGCCATCGTGTTTGCGGCCATGGGTGTGAACATGGAAACCGCGCGTTTCTTCAAGCAGGACTTCGAGGAGAACGGATCTATGGAGAACGTGTGCCTGTTTCTGAATCTGGCCAACGATCCGACCATCGAGAGAATCATCACCCCGCGTCTCGCACTGACCGCGGCCGAGTTCCTGGCGTATCAGTGCGAGAAGCACGTGCTGGTCATCCTCACCGACATGTCCTCTTACGCCGAGGCGTTGCGCGAGGTCTCAGCCGCGCGTGAAGAAGTGCCGGGTAGACGAGGTTTCCCTGGCTACATGTACACCGATTTGGCCACAATTTACGAGCGCGCCGGTCGTGTGGAAGGCCGCAACGGTTCCATCACGCAGATCCCGATTCTGACTATGCCAAACGATGATATCACCCATCCGATTCCCGATCTTACTGGTTACATTACCGAGGGCCAGATCTACGTCGACCGTCAGCTGCACAACAGGCAGATCTATCCGCCTGTGAACGTGCTGCCGTCTCTGTCGCGTCTCATGAAGTCCGCCATTGGCGAAGGAATGACACGAAAGGACCACTCAGACGTGTCCAATCAGCTAGTGAGTTGTCGCGAATCGGAAAACAGTTACAAGCTCTCTTTAACTCGTGAAACAAGCATTCACAGCTGTCTTGCCACTTGTTTGAAAAAAATATCTTCATCTTTTTTTTTCAAGATTTTTTTGTATAAATGTGTCTTTTATTTTCAGTACGCGTGTTATGCTATCGGAAAAGACGTCCAGGCGATGAAGGCCGTCGTGGGTGAAGAAGCGCTGACTCCGGACGATCTACTGTACTTGGAGTTCTTGTCCAAATTCGAGAAGAACTTCATCTCGCAAGGCAGTTACGAGAATCGTACTGTCTTCGAGTCGCTGGACATCGGCTGGCAGCTTCTGCGAATCTTCCCCAAGGAGATGCTCAAGCGAATCCCGGCCAGCACCCTCGCGGAATTCTATCCGAGAGATTCCCGCCACTAATCGCACGCGTAAGCTTCCGATGTGGGCGCGAATCACTCGTACTACATACACCAATCATCCGCGTGTCCCAATCCTTTTCATTGATATTAACTGAGATAAGGTGGATATAAACCACGCTCGGTCTCGCGTACACTTGCAGCTAGGACCGACTATTGCAAACTCGTAGTGTTTTAACTCGACAAGAGATTTTTCGATTAAAAAGCAGCGCGCTTTTCAATGAAAAAAAAAAAAAAACAAACAAACAAACAAACAAACAAACTGAGCGTGGCGCATCTTGTTACAGTGTTATACATATGTTGATGTTACAGGTCTACAGGATCGTACACGGTCTTATTTTTGTTTTTTTTTTTTGTTTTTTTTTTTTTTTTTGACGTGCAATGAGGATGTAAAGTAAATAGCATTAATACTTGTTCCATGTAAAATACCTTGAAGCAAATCATCACACAGATGAATACTAACTCGCGTGCAAATCTTCGCGAGAACCGCCGTGACTACGCGAACGTTAGTTAACACAGACATAATAATAAAATATATTGTGAATATTATATCCTCGACATTTAATAATTGCATGTGTTTTTTGTGCAGACCAACGGTGCTCACTCAGACACGCATACCAAACGTTAAGCATTGTAAAGTGTAATATATCAGTATGCAGTATTAACATAGACACACACACACACGAAGAATTTATTGCAGAAAAACGTTGTTCCCCTCTTGATCATGTTGTAATTCCCTACATTCCGAAATTTACACATGTAAGGATTTCTTTTTCGTGCGTTTTAAACCTAACCCAGAAAGATGTTTGAGAAATCAACAAATGTGTACAGTTACCTGTTCTAGAGAATGTTGTGAGCGAAATATATTACGTGTATATTGTCTTGCGAAAGGCAAAGTGTATGTTAGACCATAGATACAATTAAAGAAAATTGTTTTATTTGAAAAAAAAAAACGTTTCGTTTTTTATTGACAAAAACGTGCGTTTGGTTTTGTCAGCGACTTTGAATTCTTTGTAACTTGACTTTGTGTTTCGGAAGCGAACTCTTTCCTTTAAATTTATGTTATGATTTTTTTGTTTTTCCAGATTTCTTAAAAAGAGATTCTGTGAACGCATTTGTATTTTTCCGAATTTGAATTTGACGGGCAAACAGATGTCTCTTCCGGCGCCGCAGCTGCGTTCAGAAAACACAACGCGGCGCCTCGGCTACGTCGCGTATCTAGAGACAAGACGTTGCAGCGCTAACGTCTTTACATTGTCACATGATCAATGGTCGAAAATTTGAATGGGAATTCGTTTGCGAGTTCGCGCCATTTCTGTGATATTTGTTTGAGCAAAAGTTATGAAGTGGATCCGAGTTGATTCGCGAACAGAATGACCAGTTGAACGCGAGAAATGGTAAGAATTTACGAGATATTTTTATATGTGCTGTAAAATAATTTGTTTCTGTTTTTGTCGCGATACGAAGCAGCAAGGTTATATCAGTCATGTGCTTTCAAACTCACCGATACGATGTAGATTAAAAAATGTATGAAATAATCTTTATTTGAATTAACAATTTGCCTTTGTCGTTGGTTAATTGTTAAACACACACAAACGTAATAATTAACGTGAAAACGTACACGTGTATTTGTTTATTTCTCCAAGATTCGATCGTTGGCGCCCAGTCAGAGAGGAAAACGGCCCTTACTCTTGGACATACCGCAGGATGTTTTGCAATTGAGTCGGTCTGAAAACTGCGAGAACAAAGAACGGGGGCCGAAGAGGAGATTCACCAAAAATGTCAAGGACATACAAATATCCGAACGCAAAGCTGTTCTTCTGTCTGATAATGGCATCAACACAATGCAGAAGATAGTTTCAGAACATGTAAGTTTGCTTGTTTGTGTGCAATAAATAAATATCTTTGTTTAATATTTTTATTGCTGAAAAAATAAGATGTGTGTGATGTCATTTAGGAAGAAAGAGTGAGGAAGCTTCTGACAAAACCGTTTAAAATACCGATACCGGGCTATGAATTATCTGGACGAGCTCTTGGACTGCGTTTGTCAGGACCGCGCAGACCGTTGCATGATCCTGACGATCCCAATGCATTGATCGTTTATACACCACCGGAATTGTCTGAACATGACAGATTGAAAGTTGACTCGTAAGTTTGTGGGCAATTACAATACTTTGTACTTTTTTTAAGACTCAACTTGAAATGTTGTATTTTTACAACTGTTGCAGATCCAAACAGCTTGTACATGTAGTTATAGACCCTATATTGACAAATGTGTTGAGGCCGCATCAACGCGAAGGTGTGAAGTTCATGTACGAATGTGTAACGGGTAAACGAATAGAAGATGCGTACGGTTGTATCATGGCGGACGAAATGGGTCTCGGTAAAACACTGCAGTGCATAACTCTTCTGTGGACGTTGCTCAAGCAAGGTAAACTCGAAGTTATTAACAAGAAAATGAAACTAACGACCGATGATTGACTTTGTGATTATTGATCAAAGATTGCATTTTGTTCAGGACCTGAAGCTAAACCGCTCATAGAAAAAGCTATTATCGTCGCGCCGAGTTCCTTGGTGAAGAATTGGCACAACGAGCTCAACAAGTGGCTGCAGAACAGAATTCTCGCCGTTGCCATTGACGGCGGAAAGAAGGCGGATATCGACAAGAATCTCATACGTTTCATGAAGACTTACGGCGGCAGATGCGTGACACCTGTTTTAATAATAAGTTACGAGACGTTTCGCTTGCACTCGCACGTGTTGCATCAGGACGAGGTGGGTCTCTTACTGTGCGACGAGGGTCATCGCTTGAAAAATTCGGAGAATCAAACGTATCAGTCCCTGATGGGTCTGAAAGCCAAACGCAGGGTGTTGTTGAGCGGCACGCCTATACAGAACGATCTTCTGGAATACTTTTCCCTCCTGAACTTCGTCAATCAAGGGTTGCTGGGAACTGCTCAAGTGAGTGAAACAAATCGCTGTTACAATTTACTTAAACGTCGGCACAAATCGACATGTTTACAATTTGTCAACTCTATAATAAAACTTTCAGGAATTTCGGAAGAAATACGAAACGCCTATATTGCGCGGTCAGGACGCGAATGCGACAGAGAAGGAACGTGAGGTCGCAACGGAATGTTTGAACGAATTAGTGTCTGTTGTTAACAAATGCGTCATCAGGCGCACCAACGCTCTGCTGTCGAAATATTTGCCGCTGAAACACGAACTTGTGGTGTGCATCAAAATGGGAGAGTTGCAAACGCGTCTCTACAAGAGTTTCATACAAAGCGATAGTCTTAAGAAATCTATGGAAGGTAAATAATTTTGTATTATATATAGTTTTGTTTAAACTTTTAAGATGCCGAACAAAATATTTTGCGCATAAAATTAATTAAAAAACAATTTTTTTTTTATTTTAGATTGATATTAATTTTATAAATTTTTCGTGTGATTTGTAGAAACCGATAATCCGAAGAAAGGGGCCACTTTGTCCGCTCTCGCTGCCATAACTCTCTTAAAAAAACTGTGCAATCATCCTGATCTGATATACGACAAGATCGTAGAGAAAACGGAAGGATTCGAGAAAGCCGCGAAATTATTGCCGCCGAATTATTCGACCAAGTATGTTATCGCGTAAAATATTGCGATCTATCTGATTAAAATTGAAAAAGTATCACTTGGATAATAAAAAAAATTTATATTACAGAGAATTACTACCGGAATTGTCGGGCAAACTGATGGTTCTGGATTGTCTGTTAGCGTCCATTAAAACCACAACGAATGACAAAATAGTATTGGTGTCCAACTACACGCAGACACTCGACTTGTTCGAGAAACTCTGTCGCAAACGTTCCTACAACTATGTGAGACTCGACGGCACGATGACGATCAAGAAGCGAGCGAAGGTGGTGGACAATTTTAACAGCGAGACCAGCAGCGATTTCATCTTCATGCTCAGCTCGAAAGCAGGCGGATGCGGCTTGAATCTCATCGGCGCGAATCGTCTAGTTATGTTCGATCCGGATTGGAATCCCGCAAACGACGAACAGGCCATGGCCAGAGTCTGGAGAGACGGTCAGAAGAAACCTTGCTTCGTCTATCGTTTTCTTGCTGTAAGTAAAACGAATTATTGAAATTTTTCTCGCTCATATATTCTTGACTTTTATTGCACATTCTTCTCCTTAAGTCATTTTTATTTAAATATCAAAGGAAGAAAATAAAACTTCGAATATATTCTTTTCAGACTGGAACGATAGAAGAAAAGATATTCCAGAGACAAGCTCATAAGAAAGCGCTGAGTTCAACGGTGGTCGACCAAGAGGACGACGTGGCGCGGCATTTTACCGTAAACGATCTTCGCGATCTGTTCAAATTGGAAGAGAACACGGTCTCGGATACGCACGCGAAGTAAGTGTGAAAATCAACGTTTTCTTTAAGACTGTGTGTTTCAAGAAACAAACCAAATACTTCAATATTTATATATCATGTTATTTAGATTCAAATGCAAACGATGTCTCAATGGCATTGAGGTGAAGGGGCCGCCGGAGCAGTCGGATTGCAATTCGGACTTGTCGGATTGGCGACATTCGCACAATCCGCGACATTTGCCGGACATACCGTTGCGACAATGTTGGTCTAGCGGTATCTCGTTTGTCTTCCATCATCGTTCTCATGAGCAAGTCAAGTAGCTCAACATTGTGATGCTAATTAGTTACGTTATTTATGCCTTAGTCAAATCGATAAGTTACGTGTCACGCATCGCATCAATGTTGCGATTTTGCAAGCGATAAATTTTCTCATGTAAAATTCAAAAGATTTTTTGTTCGCTACTGCAGTCGCAACATTTATTGATGGCGGTTGTTGCGGTACAAATCCGTGCCTTAAATTTTAATAAAACAAAAGCCCTCTTGTGTATTTTTATATGAAGAGCAAATTGTGTAAAAAAAAAAAGTTTAAAAAATAAGCTATATATTCTTGAAAAAGTAATTCAATATATCTGATATGTTGGAGAGAAGATTAAAAACACATTTTCAAGTTACATATGAACATTGGCGTGTGAGCGTGCGGATCGCATTTATTTATTTATTGCATCATCCAAGGTAAAAGTTGATATACGCAACATTTGTACATTATTCGTTTCGTAGGTCGAGATTTGAGCGCTCGGGAAAGTTGCCAAGTCACACACCTACGTTTTTCTCTCTTTCTCTCTCTCTCTCTCTCTTGCGACCGAACTTTTTCACGTCGGGTAGTAGTCGCGTCTCTCAGACGGGCGTAATAGCCGCACATAGCTGCATATACAGGAATTCGTCTTTTGCATGACGCCGTGAGAAACTTGCAAGAGAGAGAAAGAGAGGAAGAGAGAGAGAGAGAGAGAGAGAGAAAGAACGAGCATCGACGAAGCAGGACGACATGGCGGACGGGGTCAGAGGGGAGGGAAGAAACGCGTGACGCGGGGATTGGAGGAGATCGTTGGGGAACGATCACATGATCACCGAACGCGGCGCCCGATTGGTGATGGCGGTCGGGCTTTCCTTCCTGACCTGTGCCTCGCTTGTTTCACCGCCGTCCGGGGTTCTCGTGACGGGCGTCTGGCTCAGAGGCTCAGAATAGTTCCAGATGTGGCCATGTTAGTTCGATTTGCGAAGTTTCCGACACATACTGCAATTTTTCTATTTGCCTGCCGAATTCTAGTAAATACCGTAATTACCGACCATCTCGTTCTCTACGTTTTGCCTGCGGCGATAAATTTATATTTTTGGTTTTCTCACCGCTGCACTCCAAATGCGATAACGCTCTTTGCTGAGAGAGAAAGAGAAAGAGACCCGAAAAATCTCCGTAATCGACGCGGGGACGCGAACGAGAAAGAAAGATTAGAGGAAAAAGAGATTTTAGAGGCGTTGTTTGTTTGTCGTTTTGATCGCTCGATTACGCCGAGCTGTCTGTACTCCGTAACCGATCGGAGCCACGTGAAAATCCGTGACACATCTGTTCCGTTTCGTCAAAAAACCGATCCGATTCTTTTTCGTTCGCACGCTTTCGTTTGTTCTCTCGGCAAGGCTCGCGTTGCGCATTGGATCGAAAAAGCAAAAAAGAAAAGAGAAGAAAGAGAACGTCCTCCGTCGCCTCTCTGTCTCTTTCAAAGATAAAAAATCGGTCGTCGTTTCGTTTAAAAGGAAAACACGCGGTCGTCGATGCAAATGTCGTGCTCCCGTTGACGGTTTTTCGTTTAAAACAAAAAAAAAACAAAAAGCAAAATCGCAGAAGTGAAAGCGTCATCGAATTTTTCTCGAGGGGGGTGAAGGATAGACGACGAAGAGGACTTCGCTCGAAGAGAGAGAGAGAAAATCGCGTTCAGTTTTTTTTCTTTTCTCTCTTCCCTCAGCTACGAGAAGTACGCGCAGGCGCGCGAGAAACGCCGTACCCAATTTCGTTCGCGTCGCACTTCCGTTTTCGAGCGCGGCGAGCAGGACAACGCGCGCGCGCGCGCTCGCGCACACGCACGCACGCAACCCGACGTCACTCACTCTCACACGCTCAGAGACACACGGACGACGCGGGGGGCAAAGGCAAAGGTGGACAAAGAGGGTGGGTAGGTAATACGAAGATAATCGCACAGAAAAGAAACGCCCACACGACAGAGCGGCACTTGTCGCCCGTCGTCGGGTCGTTCGCATGACACGTCGTCTAGAATGACGTCGTTCCCGTCGTCTTCGTCTTCGTCGTCGTCGTCGTCGTCGTTGTTGTCACGGCGGGAGAAAAGGAGAGGATCGCGCGATCTCTGATCCAAAATTTTCCATTCGCTCGCCAGAAGAGCTTTTTGAGAGAGAAAAGATCGCGAGATCGCTCGGGAAAAAGAAAAAGAGAGAGAAAATAATCTCGCATTGGTGAAAATTCGTATTGCCATCCCTCCCTCGGCGAGGGAGAGAAAGAGGCTGCGAACCCAGTCTCGAAAGTGCGTTAAAACACATTCGTAGAAAATACCTCCGGCCGAGGAAAACTCCGGGTCGGGTAAAAATCGTTTTTGAGATCTTCGTGAAAGAAAGCTGGGAACCGAACAAAGAACCGAACCGACGCCCAGGGCCGTAAGTTTTTCCGCGGAAGTCGAGAGAGATAGAGAGATAGAGTTTCCGTGAGAGAGTTTTTCGGGGAGGGAAAAAAAATCCGACGAAGAGAGGAGAGACATTTTACGTCGTCGTTCCGTGACGCGCGAGAGAAAGAGACAGAGAGAGCGAGAGGGACAGAGATTCGGAAAGACGGCAAATTAATCTTTTTTTTTTCTTTTTACATGAATCGTTTTCAGGGAGTGCTTTGCTGTTTTGAGAGCTCCCTCGTAAATGCTAGCATTCAGGCAGCGTGATTGTTACGCCAGAGCAAAGACCTGTCGAGTGTGGTCGGGCGAATCGATCGTATGATACGCCGATCCGGGGATACATTACACGGCCGCAGTGCTGATATATAGGAAACTTGTTGTTCACTTCGGGATACAACCGAGGCCGTAAGACACACACACGCAGATCGAAGATCGATCTTGCGGGCGACGAAACACGAAAATGGCAGTAGAGAGTGTTTCCGCGGCTGAGACTCTAATCCAAAGGTTTGCCTTCCTTATACAATATACTTTCATTATAACTTTACATAAGATATAATTCTTTCTTTTCGAGTCCGAGACACATTAAAAAACAAAAAAAAACCAAAACAAAATTAAAGACAAACAAACAAACAAAATCAACGGGAAATCAACGCAAAAATGAGAATCTCTCAACGGACTTAATTTATTTTTTCCGCGAGTGTCACATCGATTCGCGTCGAACACGCAACATTTTTACGTTCATATACAAAAACGTACATACACACACAGAGACACACATGCACGCGCAATCGTTACGTGTGAAATTTCCTTATCTTCCACTCCCCTTTCTCCACCCCCTCTCCGCGCATTGTATCCGCATATTTCTCTCCTCAATTTCGATCGACGTGCGATTTGCGGACGGAAAAAGAGAAGAGCGTTTCCCTCGATTTTCGACGCGCCAATCAATTCGGAAAATGCGACTTTTCTTCGAACCGGACGTCGTGAGGTGGGGGAGAAGGAACAAGAGAGGGAAAGAGACTTCGCGCTACTTTTGCGAGAAAAAAAAAACCGGATAGACGTAGGTCAAGGTTGTTCTCACGACGTTTTCGTCGTTACGGTTGACTTGTATTTCAAAAGTATTTTCGTTGAGACGATCTCTCGCCGTGGGAGTTCGAGCAAAATTATTTACGGATTTCGGGCGGGAAACGCGTGCGGTGTGTCACGCGCGTCTTTTCTCTCGGTTAACAAACAAGAAACAAAATTAGAGCAAAATTTCCGGGCTTTGAAATTGAAAAAAACAAAAAAAAATTACTCGAAATTGTATAACTTGATGATTGTTGTCGAGAACACAGGCGTTTCTAAGCGATCGAGAGATAAATAATCGTGGGGGATTATCGTCTCTGGAAATTTTTCTGACTCATCGATTGCGCGCGTGTTAACACACACACACACATGTCTCCTGTCCTCGCAATTACACGTGACAATCGGCGCGTACAAAGTAGAACGGAAAAAGTATGACACTGACCCTCTTCGAGTTTTCTTCCTTCTCTTCTCGCGCGTGTTGATTGGCAAATGAGTTTTTTGTGATTCGGGGGACAACAATTTGTCTTTTAGTTTTGAAGATAATTGGAAATTGCCGCAATTACACTTAATGTTCACCTTTTAACGTTCACCTGACGTTAAACGTGTAAGAGTCATCAGGCGGAATTGCGTCAATTTGCGGAATTATCTTAGAAGAGGAGATAAATTGTTGTCCGAATTGGAACTTCATTTATCAACGCATACAGAGTATCTTATCCGTCGCTCTTTGCTTTCTCGTGTTTTTTTTTTTTTTTTTTTTCCGATAACTCGCGTTTGCTTGTTGAGAACATTTATCAGTCTGTGGAATGTTTGAAATTGATCGGCGATAAGACGACGCGCGAGTGACAAGAGCATCGAGACACAATCCCGGACGAGAGAGAATCAATTAAATCTAGACAATCTTTTTTTGCCGCTTCAAAATCTTGGAAATTTAAGCTTCGTCGATCAATTATAGTCTCGCGTATTATCTTCATTAAAAGAAACGTAATTTCTTATTTAACGAGAAAGTTTTCTACGAATGTCAATTTAATTTTTCTTATTAGCACGCGGTAGTTTTTTTTTTCTCGGAGACAAAGCGCGGCAAATCTGAGTCACTCTGTGATGCGAGACTCCTATGTTGGACAGTCATCAAATACCCTCACAGTGTTTTCCCTTTCTTTCTTTGCACATGAGACTTGCGCGACATGTTACAACGCTTACCCACGCACTTACAAACGAAAAGAGAGAAAGAACGAGACGTAGAAAACAAACTTCTTCATTGAACGTCAGGAAAAACGTCGTCACGCGAAGAACTTTTGGATTTATTGATGTTCCTGTTGTGACGTCACGCACACACATCGGCTTTAAAAAAATCGACAATGCTGTTGCTGCTGCTGCTGCTGCGACGACGACAACAACAATGTTGAAAATGTGATGATAGTTTCTGTTATGCTAAATTTCATCAAGTTTGATAATTTGATGATCATGATCGTATACGGTCATGATAATGTTGATGATAATGATGATATGATGATGATGATGATGATGATGATTCAACGAGATGCGGTAAGGCAACTCCAATTTTTTATTCCCGCCGCAAAATGCTGCGGCAACTTTTTTTTCAGGCGTAAATTAGTTTATTTTACGTGCGAGTTCGATGAGAAACATCGGTTGCTTTTTTGTAAATCTTAAACTTGTAAGTAATTTTGTTTTAGTTTTTTTTTTTTCTTGTTTACGTGTTTGCACAATATGTTTTGTTGTACGCAGGGTTGCAGATAACGCGTTTAGATAGAGCGCTTATCTCTTGTTTTTGTCGGCCTCAAAATTGGCCTTGGGTATTTTTAAATACTTTATCTACGCACGAAAAAGTACGCGAAAGAAACAAGGCTTTATTCGCCAGAGAAAGAGAGAGAGAGAGAGAGAGAGAGAGAAACGCTAAATATAGAAATTTGTTTTTCGCGTTACGTCATTTGGAATTCGGACTCGATTTTGCATGCAATTTCGATTATCGACGTTGTTTCGTTTTTTTTTTCTTTCTTTATTTTTTTTTTGTTCTTCTCTCTCGTCCGTTACCGCGCGAAAATGTCATCGCGGCGTCTAAAATGCCGCGCCAGATGTATGTTTTCTCATCGGATTGCCGCATCGGCGTCGATCGATTTTCCAACGGGTGTGCAACTTTGTTTCGCGCCATTTTTCCGGCGGTCACTTTGACAAGAAGGGAATCGATGTTTTCGGCTCGACTAGTATAATCGCGTGTCGTCGTGGCTCACTCGATGCTCGAGTTCTCGACAATTCTCGGCGTGACGTATATAGTCGGTCGCCTCGCCCCTCGATGATTACATGAGCTATCAATTTGCTCGACAATTGCCCGACGAGTGCATCTTCATGATATTCTCTTCGTTCCGTTTGTTTTTAGCCTTTAGAAAGGAGTAGAAAACGCACGTGGCGCACCGTCGAGCTCCAAGAGAGAGAGAAAGAGAGCAAAAAAAACCACATGCTAATATGAACGTTGTTATGAATTGTTATCAGAGGTGATGAGCGTTGATAGATAGATATTTTTTTTTTGTTCCTTATGAAACGCAGACGCATCGACTTTTACTCTCGAGAAGTTCAATGCGACGACGGTCTTAAATTAATGACGAATATCCGATCAATAGTCGTTTAACAATAAATTGGAGTTTAATTTTGTCTATAAAAATATTACTTGTCGCATCTGATCATCATCATCGTCGTCGTCGTCGTCGTTATACGTAAAATTTCTGTACAAACAAATATTGAACAACAAAAGTCATGTATATATGTTGGTGAGGAACATCTCCCAACTCTGTTTACAACGTCATACTTGATGATACAAGATATTTAATGCCTAAAAAAAGGATATTTGCTTCACGTTCCGTTATTGTCGTTGCGGCAGCTATTATCTTGTTGAATTAATGAAGAAATGTCTACATGATTACACGTGAATTACGCGCATTCAAAGTGTTGAGATTATCTTTTATGTGGCAAAGTGAAAAATTGTTACACAACACGCCCAAGTAGACAAGCTGCGCTTGCATAGCTATTGTCACTGGGCACGTATCGAGCTACTTATCAGGAGCGCATAAAAGATAATTCACAAATCTTTCGCAATCTTTTATTTGTCTTTCCAATTCTAATTGCAATTTTTTGTTGTGTGTAATTAGTACTGATAACGATGATCTGGAGGACGGAGAGATTCCATCGGACGAGGACGACGAGCCGGTCAGCTGTGTGGTCACCAATAACGTGCCGGAAGCGACGAAATCGCCGCCGTTGAAATGCGACTCAACGAAGACCAAGGAATTCGATGTGAAATTCAACAAGAACAAAAAGCAGCAGCAGTCACCGCAAGCAGCTAATAAGCATGATCGGTTTCTTAAATACAATGATCCGAGTGAGGATTGGGCTGCGGACGTGGAGAAGGCCATCAAGGCCGCGATGCAGGAGGACGGAGGGAGAAATCAGGAGACCAAGAAGAACAAGAACAACAGGAACAAGATTCGAAAAAGAGCGCGAGAGGAGCGAGAGGACGAGCGCGCTAAGGATCAGAAGGTAAAACTTGATGTGATAAATATTGGTCTCTTCTCAAGCCTTTTGCAAACTTTCATTTTTGTGACTAATCACTTGTCTTTTGCAAATCTTTGTAGAAACAAAAAGTGAGCGAGGAGGAGAATCCCAACGACGATGAGGACGAAATGTTGTTCGTACGAGGCGCCTCGCCCGTCAGAAAGGACTCTCAAGAGAGAGACAGTCCTCCCAAACACGCCAATGAACATGAAAATTTCGAGGGTGTTTCGGATCACGAGGAAAAACCGAATGTAAACCGACATAAAGAGAATGAAAACAACAAACGCGGCAACGTGCGAAGCGGAGGAGGTGGTGGAAGCGGAGGTATAGTCTTCATTTTTCTTGATGATTAACTTAATTAAAAATTACGCTCATAAGTTCTTTTATTATCGTATAATATATTCATCAAATAAATTGATCGAGAATTTTCATACAAATATTCATTTGTTTTGCGTACGTTTGTAGGACGCCGCGGTGGCAAAAACGAACGCGGCAAGAACAAAAATCGAAACCAAGGACGGAACGATCGGAACAATCGTCGTCAACAGAACAACGATCATTCGGAACCGGATCAGATCTGTGTGTATTATATGCAGGGAAAGTGTCACAGAGGCGAAGACTGTCCGTTCTCGCACAATGCTTTGCCGCCCCGCAAGATGGAACTGTGCAAGTTCTATCTTATGGATTGTTGCGCGAAGAGAGACAAGTGTCTCTATATGCATCACGATTTTCCCTGCAAGTTCTTCCACACCGGCGTCAAGTGCGTTCAGGGCGACAATTGCAAATTCTCGCATAAGCCTCTAAACGATCAGGTGTGTTTTAATAAATGTTTTAATTAACGGTTCAGTTAATTGTGACGTTATTTTACAGAGCAAAGCAAATGTGTTACAAATTTTATTTTGCATTTCCCTAGGTGAAAAATATCCTTTTGAAGCATTTGGAAACCGCGCCGAAGGAAATTCTCGGTGATTTTCCGAGATTAAGTCGAGAAAGTGCAATGTTGATGATAAATAATACCGCGCGTTCTCTTGCCCAAGGCCAGGATGCAGCGAACCAAAAGATCCCTAGCCTTTTCGAATTGAAGGTATCGGAACCCATTGAAAACCTCGAAGAGAAAGAAGAGAAAGGTAACTACGCAGAGAATTTAGCTGTCTTTGAGTTTTGCTAAAATATTTAAGTATCTTTTACACCGAGTAAGTTAAATTTTTACTTAAAAATTGTTTTGCCAAATAGAAGAACAAATGAATCAACACAAAGGTAACGCGAGAGAGAGAAAGCCTTCGGGAAAGAAAACACGATGGGGATCAGATGAGGATAGAGTTCCCTACGAGCAGATTATGCTGTTACAATCGGCGAACAAACTTGGTCTTCAGCTTCCGAATGCCGCGTTAGGCTTAGCCACGCAGCAGCACAAGCAGTCGCAAGATGTTCCGAATTTTTACACCGAGAGAAATGCCGAATCGAATGTACATAAAACGGCAGATGATTTCACGAAAGACGTGGGAGAAGAGAACATGGAAACCGAGGTGATAACATTTATGCCAAGATTTAAATGAGATAAATTGTAGTTCTGATAAGTATTTGAAAAATTTGAGTGTAAAAATGTAAAAATTTATACTCTTTATTTTATTTTTAACATTTATTAAAATATTTATTGTACTATTTTTACGTAAATATAGTAATGTAATTTATTTAATTATTACAGAGAAAAGATATCGATTTGAGACAATTGCTTAATAAAAAGAAATCGTCGGCGATGTCAACTTACTATCGTCTAGCCGAGAAAATGGTGGATCTTCCAAAACCTACTGATGAGGAAAGCGACCAAGACGACGAATCAAATCTTGTTATTGAAATGCCAGTGGAAGATGAGGATAAGGAGAAAGGAAAACATCACAGTAGCGATTCAAGTAAGAATATTGTTTTATTTCTTTAATGTTTAGTACTTCTTCGTCAAAATTTTACCATAGAATAACATGTTCAAAATTCTTTTATTGTATATCTATAATTTTATCACAGATGAAGTCCACAACGTGTACTTCTCTACCGCTGACGAGGCAGAAACGGCGCCGCCTAATCTACCGAAGAAGGCACAGGAGTTGTTTATGCGGATACAGCAACAACAACGTGCGGCTCAGGACAGTTTTAAGAACCTCGAGAGTGATTCTACTGCACGTCGCACTGATCAGATTGTCGAGGATTGGTACTCAGACGATGAGGACGACGATGACGACGAAGGAGGCGGTCTCACTATAGTGGACAGTTCAAAGGATGATGTCGAGATGGCTGAACCCGTCGTCAAGACCGAAAACGAATCCACGCCACCTTCCAATATTCCGCAGCCGGCTGCCATTGTAGACAAATTGGGCGATCTCAGTAAAATTGACATCAGTGCCGAAGTCTCTAAGTTGCTCTCCACTCTGAAAGCTCAAAGTTCCACAACCAGCAGCAAGACACAGACGTCAAAGGCCAAGTCGCCTTCCAGAACGGACGGCGAGACGTCGTCGAGTCCGAGGCAACAGTCACCAGGTCCGACTCCGGTCGCCATGCCTGTGTCCCGAGATCCGCGGATGTCCAGCAGGGATCCTAGGCAGCGTCGAGAAACCGAACAGAAGCCGAGCAGTCCGAGCATAGTCGAGGCTAAAAAGGAGAAACCTCTCAGGTTAGAGACTAGCATCTACAGCTCCGGAATTACCGCAATGGACGCGAATATGGACACTGATCTTAGGACAAAGGCGGACCAGGATCTCAGACGACAAGACATGGACTTCCGGCAGCGTTTTCACACCAGTGACTTCGGTGACACGGATCTTCGCGTGAAATCGGACGTTGATCTGCGACAAATATTGAGCTTGCCATTCAAGCCAGCGCCGTCGCACGTACCGTGCACCGAGATCGACGCGAGTATCGCGTCGCATCCTCCAATGGCATACAGTCTCTATGTAGTCGACATACCCAGGCCTGATTACACCGGTCTCAAATTGTCGAAAAACGACGCGCAAGTGAAATACGATCCGCGATTGCGCAAGATCTTTCGTATCTCTAAACCGGAGCAGGTGGCCGACTCTCCGATGTCACCACCGCCGCAACAGATGAAACAGGAAATCCCGAAATCGCCGCCGCAATGCATTCGCTCGGATCCGCGACGGAAAACGCTGGAAGCAGCGGCCGCTTCCAGTCAGCAAGCGTCGCAGAGCGTGATGAGCGCTTCCATGATGTCCAAAGGACCAATGCAGTCGATGGAAACAATGGGACCTTCCATGGGCATGCAGATGGGACCTACTGGTATACCCGGAAATATTCCCGGCCCTCCCCAGATGATGGGACCGATGGGTCCGAATCATCCAATGGGCATGAGTAACATGGGTCCGATGAACCACCCGATGGGGCCTATGATGAACGCGGGTCCGATGCCGTCGATGGGCATGCCGCCCAACGCGCCGATAGGAATGAACGGACCGGTCGCGATGCCGCCCCAGAGTCAGATGAACTTCGATCCGCGTTTCAACGTGCAACGTAACAACGGAGCCGGGCTGTTGGGTCCCGCGCCTGGTGCTTTCGGTCCGGATCCTCCGTTTGAAGGTGGGGGAACGTCGTATCCCAGCGGTGGCAACTTCAGCAATTTCGGACCCGGTGGCAGCGGCGGACCCGGTGATCCGGGCATGATGGGTTTCAATCCGAACGCGTCTAACGGTCCGAACTTTGGCCCGATGGCCGGGGACGGTCCCGATTGGGGCACTGGCGGCAACAGACGTGGCAATCGTATTCGCCGACGGAATCGCAATAGAACCAATATGGTCACGAATTGAAAAAAAACGTTCGAAAAGACAAACCAAAAAGAAACGGAATTAGGCACACAAGACTGAGGTACCTGACGAAAATTCTCATACGAGCGATCAGGTAGTCAGATGACGTTGCACGATAACAAGCATAATATACAAGCAATACATTCGATCACGATAATTAGGGAAAGAAGAATTCTTCCGAATTCGATCGCAACTGATTTCGATATGACGTCGAGATCCGTTCTTTACATAAAGTTAGGTCTGAAGTTTATATTATATAATCGTTGAAGATTTATTCATATATAAATATTTATATGTAAATATATAAATGAAGAACTTTTTTTTTGAAAAAAGAATGGGAGAGGAATTATAATCTATATAAATATATACATATATAAAAAAAACACAATCGCCGAGGAGAAGCAGCAAACCGAGCGATAGAAGGGATCGGTTTACTTACTTGGGTAAGAATTATATAAACGACAGAAATATATCACATAGGTGAATTGCTTGCGCGATATCTTTCTCGGTTCACGCTTTGAGAGAGTTGGGAAAAAATACACAACTTTTCGCCTCTCATTCGAAAAGAAAAAAAAAAAATCGAACACCACAATCGCATCGCTGTCCTCGTAGTTTAAAAAAGCCTGTCGCATATTTCTTAACGTTTATTAGCAATTAATAATCCGTAAAAGTAAGAGTTAGTTATTTATAGCGTATATATATATATATATATATATATACATAAAAAAAATACATATAAATATATATATAAATAATGATAAAAATGTGTATCCTCGCGTTTAATAATAAAAGAAATAAAATGTAGTCCAATGGAAAACGAAAAAAAAAAAAAAGACACTTTTGGGTGCATAATTCGCTCCACGGTAACGTAACAATCGAGAACCAAGTAGATGATATTATTTACAGAAACGATCGACAATTGGTAGCTTTGTTGTCTTCCACGGTGTTTACACACCGCCTTGCGTTTCTCGAGATACTTGTTGTCTCTTCTCTCTATCTCCTCTCTATTTCTCTTTGTCACTCTCTCTCTCTCTTACAAACAAACTTCCCTGTTAATTTGTAAATCCGTATACGCGCGATCCGCGTGCCGCGAGAAAACGTTGGGGGGAAGAAAGTAACGTAGTAAACATTTAATATGGAAAAACTCTGAGAAACATATGGGGGATGCAATATTTTGTAAGAAAGAAAATTTAACATTACGATTTTTGTAAAAGCTATTACGCGTTTGCGCGTAATGGCGAGAATGTTTTCTATTGCTCTTGATTAATTAAGAAAAAAGATAATATACATGTAAGATCTCTTTTGGCGCACACACACGGTCGGATAATGTATCACAAGTAGGTACGTTCATAGAATTCAGAAGAAAACGGAATTATTTAAACATTAGCTGTTATAAATTTTTTTACGTTGCGATTGTATTTTCATTATTTTCACTTATACATCATACTTGTTATCAACTAATGAATCACAATTACGAAGTTACATTTATATAAGATACAAAATTTGCTATATTAACATACACGAGCTGACTGTCGTACACACATGTGAGACGTGGGTTTGATTTTCACACACACACACATACGCGCGAGCTCTCAGCAATTCGTTTCAATGATGTAAATATCTTGGTTGTATTAATTTGCGCATTTTATATAAGAAAATATAGAATTATATATATATATATTATATATATTATATATTATATATATATATAACGAAAACTTTGTCTATATACGAAGAAGAGGGAAGAGTTTTTGTACAATATACATTCTACAAAAACAAATTGTATCCTTTTACTCTCTCTCTTTCTCTTTCTCTCTCTCTCTGTCTCTGTCTCTCTCTCTCTCTCTCTGAGAGACACAGAATCACACGTTTAGTTTACATTTTGAATAAAAAAGTGAGCGAGCAGTCGCGTTTGACTGAATTGTCATCCCATGTCAGGTCATATCTTCTTCCTACGCGCGATCAGTGTAGAATAGAACTTAGAGGATCGGCTCGTATCGATGAAAAATCCAATCGCGCATCGACTTCGTCGTCTATTTCTCCCACTATCGCTCTAAAAAAAAAAAAGCAATATATATGTACATATACATATGTGTCACGATGTGTTTTTCTCGTTAAATATTTATGTTTACTATTTATTGTTTTCCAAACCAATATAGTGCAAAAGACACTTATTTTTGTATTTATCTAAAAATAAACGTTAATGCTCCGAAAGAAAAGGGATTATTTTGGATTGTTGAACATCATGCGATCGCAAACGTTAAGAGTCCGATTACTGTACTAACACGTTGTCTCCTCTGATGATGTGCAAACCCAAGACAACTTGTTCCACTCCTTGCGTCGTGCTGTAAACTCGCTCGTGCGACTCGTCCAGGATTATATTGATGGTCTGATCGAAACCTTTCAATGTGCCCTTCAAGAACAAACAATTTTTAACATTTTGACGCGTTAGGATGATAAAATTTTCTGACACAACACACTTGGGGGTCTTAAAATCGAACAATATTGACATCAAAACGTGCAGCCATGACTCTTCTTCTTTTACACTGTCAAATTAATATACAAACAACTTAAATTTCTCACACAAATACAAGATAAGCAATCGCGTACGTGAAACAGTGTGTCAGAGAGTATACACGTGTGTTGGATATTTTTTACTTACAACAAAGTTCCTGCCGTCCGACGTGATAATAGAAACCATATCTGGAAGCGTGTTCAGGAGTCGTGTTTATCGTGTAGTAGAATAACTGATTCTGTGTGTGAGAAGTAAATGTACATAAAAGGATACGATTCACATAGCTTTCCAATCCCGACGCCATTATCAACGTAATTAAGTAGCTTGCTTGCGATTAAAATGTATATTGACTTTTGTGGCTCCAAAAACCTCAAGCCAAATCAAAATATTAATATATAACCTCCACCGGCTATAAACAATAACTATAGCACATTCGCTATTCCCTCATTCGGTTGACTTTCAAAACGAATAACAGAGAGAGAGAGAGAGAGAGAAGATTGAGGCCTGTTCTAAAATTTACAGTCGTAAGCAATTGACCAATCACAATCGACTATTCTTCTGTGATTTGTCCAATTTCGCGATTGGTCAATTTCTTACGACTTACAGCCAATGACTATTGTGGAATAGGCCTTTTAAGCCCGTGTCGCTACATGTTGCGGACGTTGATTGGATTGGGATTGCGGATTGCGAGTCGGAAGTTAGCCAATCAGAACGAAGCTGCCTCGTGATTTTGATTGGCTAACCTTCCGATTCGCAATCCGCAATTCTAATCCAATCCACGTCCGCGATACGTAGTGTGTGACACGGGCTTTAAGGCCCGAGATATTCGAACCGCTCAATTTTAGAAGAAGATACCACGGTACGCGGTTGGCGTAAAATAAACATTTGATAAGTCGCGCGTAAACGTAAGTATCACGCGTGCAAATAAAGTAAAACATTTTTAAATGATTTTTCAGGCTCGAGTATGTCTCTGACGAGGTTGCGTTGCGTGATGTAATTTTACTCTGAGTAAGTTTGATGTGAAAAAATTCGCGCTATAAGATTCAGAAAATCATTTCTATCGTATTGAGAGATAGATATATAGATAGAGAGAGAGAGAGAGAGATTTTTCGCGATTACTTTTACGTCACACAAGTTTCTCATATTTTTACAGCGCAGTAACGTCTCAAAAGTCGCGGTGGGAACTTCCGAGCTAGAGGTTTTTTATCCTCTTCGCCATCTTTGGTCGTGCTCTCGGTTATTGCGTTCGTGCTTTAATTATTAAAACCCATAAAACCGTCAGCGCGCCGAAGGATTTACACAACAACAGATCAATCTCCGATGGCGCGTGAGTAGGGGGAAATGCAAAAGTGCAGTTGCACACAAATACGGAAAAGAAGGAGGGAGAGAAAGAGATAGGACGAAGAGAGAGAGAGAGAGATGGAACGGGGATGTATATATATACGCGTCGCTCAAACATGGCGGTAATCCTATCAGCTGATAGCGTCCGTCAGTGGGATGACGGACCGCATTTTGGTTAATCGGGTTAGATCGTAGTACAGCGGGTTCCCCCTCTCTTCCAATTACAGATCGTCGTCGATGACCACCACGAGTCATCGTGTGCATTGCGTGTGCCAGCTTGCGTTACGTACTTACAAGTGTTGATCCGCGGATGACGCACAAGCGACGATGCTGATGCACCTCCTCTCGCGCACGCATCATCGCACGGGAAAAACGAGATCGAGCAGCAGCGTCACACGTAATCAGCACTGACAGGTGGACACTGGGAGAGAAGTCGCCGCGGGAAATGTCGCAAGGTAGATAGGATTTTCTCGTCGCAACGCGTTTATTTCGAAATAATCGAGGATTGACAAGCAAACCGCAACGACGGTGGGAGTCGTCAACGGGAGAAGCGAACGAACCGCGGATCCAGCCTTGCGAGCGGATCAATCTGTGATGAGCGACTCCGAACAGCAGCAATTGCACGTGCCTTATCGAGAGTACCACAGTCATCAGAACAACACCAGCCCCGCTGCCGCCACCGCACTGGTAGTGGAGACAGATGCGCTGGTGGATCTGTCTATTGCGCCCGTAAGCAGCAGTAACAGTAGTGGTAGCAACAACAACAACAACAACAACAACAACAATAACAACAACAACAACCAGCAGCAGCAGCAGCAGCAACAACTGCCGCCTTCGGCGGATCTTCTGCCCGACGTTGAGTTTATTCCAGGTCTGAGCAACGACCAAACTCTAGCCATTGATTCCTCTGGGATTGACCGGGAGAGCCAGCCTCTCCTCGGTCGCTTGGAACTCGACGTCACGTTTAACAGATTTCCAGGTACGTTAGTAAATTTCTTAGTTAAATCTCTTTTTTTTTTATTCAATTCAAATTTTCTATGTATCAATCTTGTACACGTTAAAAATATATTTTGAAAAATATATATTTTGCAAGTCCTGTTTCTTGAATTAATTTATAATAGAGCTGTATATTTGTTATATATATATTTTTGTTATATATAAATTCATGATTCATAGTTTTGAGAACAGCCCAAAATTAATGACACAATTTTCTCTTTCTATGTAATCACAAGATTTAGATTTTATGCGTACTCGTGTTGCAGATGATCCGCAGTTCTCAGAATTAGTGTGGCAAGCCGAGTGCGCAATAGACAATGGAGTTTATCCGGAAAGAATATACCAGGGATCTAGTGGAAGTTACTTCGTTAAAAATCCCGCAGGGGTAAGGGTTTGTCGTTAATTTCTCAAATAAACTCGAGAGAGTGAATAAAAAAAATCTTTTAACGTTCTAGTTTATATCATTAGGTTTATTGAGTTTGTTTGATTATTTTCTCGCAGAAAATCATAGGTGTGTTCAAGCCGAAAGATGAAGAGCCTTACGGCAGACTGAATCCGAAGTGGACGAAATGGATGCACAAGCTCTGCTGTCCCTGCTGCTTTGGCAGGAGCTGCCTGATCCCAAATCAGGGATACCTGAGCGAGGCGGGCGCGAGTCTCGTCGATCGCAAACTAGGCCTGGGTATAGTCCCAAATACCCGAGTGGTGAAGCTCGTCAGCGAAGTGTTCAATTATCCGCGTCTGGATCGACAGAAGGCACGCATGAAGCAGGCGATCATGGACCAGTTCCCTACGGTGGGCTCGCACTTCAATCGTATCGGACTGCCGCCGAAAGTCGGCTCCTTCCAGGTGTTCGTCGACGGCTACAAGGACGCCGATTACTGGCTGAGACGGTGGGAGAATGAGTCCATGCCGGCGCGACTGAGCCGGGATTTTCAGCTTCAGTTCGAACGCTTGGTTATTCTGGACTACATCATTAGAAATACAGACAGAGGTGCGAACGATCGAATCACTCTGTCCGTAACAACATCGATAGAAGTGTTTCTCATGTTGTCTCGTGTTCAGGTAACGACAACTGGCTTATCAAATACGACACCAGCGTCAACAAGAACGGAACGGAGCAGGGCGAGGTGAAGATCGCGGCAATAGACAACGGTCTAGCCTTCCCGTTCAAACATCCGGACTCTTGGCGGGCGTACCCGTACCATTGGGCGTGGTTGACTCAGGCGAAGCAGCCGTTCAGCGAAGCCACGCGGGAACTGGTTCTGCCGCAGTTGTCGGATCAGAACTTCGTGCAAGATCTCTGTGACGACTTGTATCAATTATTCAAAGTACGTCACAAATGTTTCACCCGAAGAAAACGATCGTTGTTACACTCATCGGTCACGCTCATTGACTCGCGATAAACCGTAATTTCCATGTTCTATTTTTGTAGCAAGATAAGGGCTTCGACCGGCATCACTTTGATAGGCAAATGAGCGTAATGCGCGGCCAGATTTTAAACCTGCAACAGGCTCTGAAAGACGCTAAGAGCCCGGTGCAATTGGTACAAATGCCAGCTGTAATTGTGGAAAAGTATGTACATTTATTTTTATATTTCCATTAAAAAACAGTAGCGAAAAACGAGTTGAAAAACACATGAGAAACGTTTTTTCACTCGGAGCGTCTTAAAAGAAAAAAAAAAACCGCACAGTTAACTGCAGTTTCAGTCAATTATTTAACCGTAAATCAACCTTGCTTGAAGTTGTTTATTTAAAGCTCCATCTATCACCTCGTTGACAAATGGAAATATATTTGATACTTGACAAGTGTCTTATCTTTTCAGGGCCAAAGGAAACGGCGCGCCAAGGTTGTTTTCGTTCTCCGATACGTTTACCCAGCGCTTCCAGAACAAGAGTCCGTTCTTTTCCTGGTGTTGAGACAAATACAAAAGACGCGCGACAAAGATTTTTCACACATCCATTACGGTGTGCTCGCGAAAATCCAGTGAGAGATGTCAGTGCCGATTACACAGCGGGAGACTCACGTTTCGCGCGCCGCACACACACACACACCCACACACACCCTCACACCCTCACAGACACGAATAATGTTACAATTATTTTTCTAAGTTCCGAATCCTACATTTTTCTACCTCCTTCTTAAGTTTCAATCTCCGCTGTGTGACCGTTGCCGGATCGGAGAAAAATGGAAGTGATCGATTCTCTTTTTAGGCTGTCCTGTATAATTTATCATCTCTCTCTCAATTGGGATATAAGATATATTCGTACATCTATATATTGTATACAGTAAATATATATTATAACGTTGAAACGGATTTTTTTTTGTCAAGTGTGCGCTTAATGTAACACGGAAACGAGTGTAAAGAAACAAAACAAAACAAAAAAAAAAAAAAACCAAAAACAGAGACACACGCGATGCAACCCAAAGCGCAGGTTCGCAAAGCTCGAAACATGTTCTCTCGTCTTCCACACGCATGTCACGCATGTTTCGTAGCTCGCGCCGCGGGTTAAAACCAGAAGAAGAATGTATAAATGAGGAAAACCTATAGGAGAACGATCGGTGTCTCTGCTTGGAAAAGTCAGAAACAAAGAGAGAGAGAGAGAGAGAGAGAGAGAGAGAGAGAGAGAGAGAAAGAGATGAATATTCCATGTTTGAACACACAGTGGGATGTTCTCTCGTCTTTTTTTTTCTCGCGGAAATAAAAAAAACGTTAGCCAATTCACTTCCGACGAGATATGTTGTCGATTGTTGAGATACTACTTGAAGAGTCAAATGAGAAAAGTTTTTTAAGTTGGTTAACTGTGATTTATTTTTTTGTTCCGATGTGTCGCACACACACATGTCTGTCACATATAATTGTATAACGAGGAGAAGAATTCCCGCGTAGTTGTAAAAAGAGAAAATTATAGCCGAGGCTAATTATTAAGTACAAAAAACAAAAACAAAAAAAACAATGAAACTGCTACGGAAACACGTAGACAAAAAAAAATAGAGTTTCTAGTGCAATTTTTAACGAAATTGTATGATTTTTGCCCGCATTCCCTGTTACTTACGTTTATCGGATACGCACGCCGTGCCGTCGTGGAGATCACGTGATCCCCTATTTCGACAATTACGTACGACATCGTGAAGCTAGTCAGATTGACGTCATTTGTGTCACAAATGTGTTTCATCAGATTTTCGAGATGTGATTTTTAACCGCTATGTGATATTTTTTATGTATTTTGCGTTTTATTACGATACTTATATTTGCAGAACGTGATAACGAAGTGCACTTTTGTGCGCACTGGTGGTCTAATATAAAAAAAAAAAAAAAGTTCGCGAAAGTGCGAGAGAGATGGAGATCGTCGAGACTTCTGCGAAGAGGAAGGCCTCGTCGTGCACGAAAACGATAACTAAATGTCCGTGCAAAATGAAAGTAATTTTGCCCTCCGCAATATATATTTGTTTACATACATTGATTTTTTGATTCAACCCGGACAGCACGTTTGTGTAAAAAAAAACAATTTGCAAATGTGTCCGTCTTTAAAATGTCTTTTTTTTTATCTCTGTGCTGTCTGGGATGATCTTAACATAGAGCTTGGTGCAAATTAGTAACACGCATATTTTTCTCTTCGACTGTAAAAAGTAATATCTAATTGTAATGTGTCAACAATCGTATAAATTATATTTTAATTAATAACAAAATTATAAATTAGTTATAATTACTTATTAATTTTATTATTAATTAAAATATAAATTACAATAACGTAACCGAAATAACACGACGCGTTGATTTTGAAAACACTCGTGCGCGCGATCAAGTACACGAAGAGATACGTGCAACCTCCGCGTCCGAAGTCCTTCGCGCCAGAACGACTGTACAGAATCCCGTCGAAGAAACTCGATAGCAACACCACGTATTACATGTCGTATACGAGTACGGATCCTGCGACGGCGCGTCACGTGCGATCGCAGCCGATTCGACCCGTTCACGCAATCGAGAAAAGCAGCGGCAAATTTTTCGACGACACAACGACCAAGTTGTCGTACAGACCCGTATGGGAGGTGGTGAAGCCGGAACCGATTGTACCGAAGCACAGGTAAGAGAAAGCGACGGTCCAAGACATTCTTGGATTTAATTTCATTAAACAATGCTGATATATCGAATCAAACGCGCCTGGAAAAAGCGCCCGGATCGCGTTGGAGTAAGTTTAAAGACACAAAAGATTATTGATTGTCGTGTGTGAGATCGATGACAGGAAAAGGTCCGATGGAAAACGTAACGACTGTGCGCCACGATTACGTGGCGAGACACGTCGAGAGATCGGGGTTGATCGTGCCCCGCGGAAACATTCGCACCAGCTCGGCCCCGTTGGAGGACAGAACAATGGCAAGAATGTCCTACGTGGCTCCGGGACCTGTCAAACCCGTCATCAGTTTCAAACCTGTGCTCAAGTATCGCCCGCCGAGCCAGCCTCTTCCCAAAGAGACCACGCAGAAGTTGAGCTACCAGCCCTTCGTCGTTGGCAAGAAAGAATTTTATTCTTGGACGCAAAAACCGGTGTACAAGTACGTTCACGCGTTAAAAAAAAAATCGCGCGGAACTTAAACGCGCGGAAAAAAAAATGATGTCGAACCAACATCATCGGTTTGATTGAAATATTCCGTTGATCGATATTATTGAACTACATAGCGGACAGCTGCTTTAGACATGAAAAAACTTCAGATATATTAGATTGCAAAAATTTTTAGAAATTAATAAAACGATTGAATCAATCGCGTATGCCAACCGAATAAACTGTTTATTCTTGCGGCAGCCCGTGACTTTCCGATTGAAGCAACTCTATTTTTTTTTCGTGTACGAAAATCGCGAGAGAAAACATTTGTAAGATTGATTTTTCGTTACGAAGACCACCGAAGACCGCGATGTGCGACAAGACCGTTTACTCCGAGAGCTACCTGGAAAACTGCGCGGTTTCCGTGGAGAAGCCTTGCGTTCCGAAGGCGACCCAGGTGTTTCCTTACGGCGCGGAATTTGCGGACAAAACAATCTACAAAGAAAGTTATCTTCCGGGCGAAGCGGAGCGCGCGATACCGTTCGTTCCCTCGAGCAGTATATCCATACCCGACATGAAGATGTCAGCTGACACCACCACCAAGGTGATTTGTCTACGTCGTTTCCCCCTCCTAAATAAGATCCTTTATTGCCTTTGCCCTCCCTCATCATCATCGCGGAAGAAAATAGCTAGACAAGTCGCCATCGTAACAGTTTGACAGCCACATTTATTCCGACCCTTTGCATCTACAATAGACCATAGAGGATCTCCTACACGACGGGAGATTCCGTAGCAAAAAATCACATTTCACTGTCTATTTTCAAAAGCTAGTTTTGCAATTTAATTTGCTGCGCGTTTGAAACTACGTTTAATAACTTTTTGTGTTTATTTTATTTTATAAAACAAATATTTGTAAACGGCTTTTTTTTTATAAACTAGATCAAGAATCAGGACTTCCAGAGCCAAACTCCAAACGTGCGAAATATGTTTTTCAACGAAAATTAATAGAATAATAAAACGCTAATAGAAAATTAATAGAAAATTCGAATTGAATAACAATCCCGGAATTTTTTAAATTTTATAAGGAAATTAAATGAACGAAATGATTCATGTATGTGTGCAAAGTAGCATTTTATATAAATTTTAGAATTGTTGTGTTTGAATTTTCCGTGTGTGTTAATTTACACGTTGAAAAATTATATTTCGCACTTACATTCGGCGTTTGGCTCTCAAAGTTTTGATTTGTTATATATATTTGTTATATGTAATTTTACTTGTTTATTTATTTCTTATACATTTGTTATCGTACAATCTATACGAGCTTCGGAATTTTGTTTTACAAGAGAGAAACTCTCTACGTTCGGCGAGTGTCATCGCGCGATTAACATTTTGCAGCTGAGCTACCAACAAGTTTGGACGGAGAAGAGAAAACCGATCGTGCCAGTGCGCGTTAGACATCTATTAGGAACCGGTAAAATGCAGTCGGAAACGACGACTCGTTGTGAATACGCGGCGAAGGTTACAACACCTCCGGTTGTCATCGTTCCGTGCGATAATATCCGCACGGCGGACGTGCCGTTGGAGGGTGCCACGACCACCGGACTGTCCTATATGAAACCCGACGCGATAAAACCTGTTCGCAGTTACAAACCCGTTACGCAATACTGCAGGTGACGAGAGATACACACACACACACACGCGCGCGCGTGTGTGACATAAAAGTCAAATAGAACAAAGTCTATTAAAACGACGTGTGTCTGTAGAAAAGATATTTATGACGCGGAATTTTTTTTTCTTTCTCTGCGTTCAAAACACGTCTTGAAAATATTCTTGGTCAACGCGCGGTCGGTTGCGCTCGGGCTTTATAATCGATATATCGAGTTTTGTAATTTGATCGCGTGTTCCTTTCCTTTAGGCCGGAAGCCAAGATCGATTCCGAAACCGTAAATAAATTGTCGTATCAGACGTGGACGGTCAGACCTAGGGAGGAGCTCCCGTGGACTCGAAAGAGCAAATATCGGCCCCCAGAACAGCCGATGGCCGAAAACACGATTTATCACTTGAGTTATCCCGCGCCGGGTCATTACGTGAAGGAAGAATCGGACTGTCCTTGTCCGAACGAGAAGGAACGGGATGATGATGTTTCGCCGGAAACGGTGTTCGAAACGTGTTCGAATTGAGAGATTGTTGCTTTTTGACAGCTCGCAAAAATTCTTCCAACAAATGGAAGAAACTCTTGTTGCGCCGAATAAAAATTTTATCGGTTCAAAAAGTTCGTTGCGTTAACTTTCTTTAACTCTCTCTCTCTCGAATACAAGATACAAAAAAAAAAAAAAATGTAGAATGAAAACTCAAAATATACATCGAAATTACCTCTTGCTCTCTTCGACGTTTCGAACATTTTTGCGAAAATTTGCATGCGGGAGTAAAAAAGAAGACAACAACAACGGTGTAATGTATTGATTTATAACATACTTTATTGCGCGTAAACATGCGTGTTTTGTATTATCCTACACTTACACAATAGTATGTTACATTAAGTATAATGAAAACTACATAATAAGTGCCTCCGACTTATTCAATAATAAAATAAACTCTAGTATATTCATTAAAAAGACGGAATACACAGAGTGTCAAGTAATATACTTATATATATACATATATATATATATAAGTAATATGTACATATATATGTATATAACGATAAATTGCGATAAAGTTGTCACGTAAGACTATTTGCAATAAGTTTGCACACATGCATATATATATATATATTTAACAAATTGACTTGTTTTTTTTTTTTTTTTAATATGTATAAGAAAGACGCACGTACAAGGGGGAGGGAATGGAGCATTACAGTATAATCGTTAATTATTAAACTACTAGCACATGAAAAATGTAACACTAAATTTTCTCTCGTTCTATTTATATGATATTTCTTTCTTTCGTTTTTCTACAAATCACTCAACTTCTTCAAAATAATTGCAATGCGATAATAATAATAATATATTAATGAATATATATATATTTTTCATTAATATACTATATATATTGTGAATATATATATATGTTCAGTAATATATTCATTAATATATTACGCGAATATACTTCTCTACGAATTATATATTCATATATTAATAAACGCACATGTGTATATAATATATCAATGTATATATGTAAAAAAAAGTTCACTAATGCGTGTGTGAACACATACACGACGATATATCAACGAATAAAAACCACCATGCTTATTAATATCATTAAGTAAAAACTGGAAAAAAAAACCATTACTACTTAGAAAAATTATGGCTCTTGTATGTTGCACCTACAAAAAGACTGTTGTTTCGCGTATAAATTCTTGAGAAACAAAAAAAAAAGAGTTAGAGACTAAAATCATTAAAAACTTATATAATAAGGCACTTATTCTATCGTGTTACATGTAATTGTACATATATATATGTTTATGGTGCGTGAGTACATACACCAGCACACACGCGCAATCACACTTTCTATGTCTCTCTCTCTCTCTCTTTGTCTTCGATATCGTTTCGAATTTATACCACGTGCCTTATTTTATATATTTATATGTGTGTGTGTGTATACATGTATATTAAACACACATTCATTGCCAATTCCCGTACAGCAATTTGCTCTCGTATCGAACTTAGCTGAGCACCATAATTGGACGATTTTTACTTTCCCTCTTTTAATTTCGCGTTCATTTTATTTGAGATCATGTTCTTATTCAACTCGAGTATATCACTCAACAAAACGCATCTATAACAAAACAGAAAAATAAAAAAACATCCTTTCCAAACAACTTCCAGAACGCGTTTTCCAAAGAAAAAAAAAATGAATCGACCGAGCTAAACAATCGTGTAGGAGATATGTGTGTGTGTGTGTGTATGTGTGTGAGATGATTGTCTATTTTTGTTACAATATTGTACTTTTCAAAACACTTCTCTGCCATTCCAAAATCTTTCTGCAGTGCATTTCTCTCGCAATTCGGATATGCTTAAAAGTTACATTTGTGAGTCACTAAGTTACAACAACACTTTATCTTCTTATAAAAAGTCCCCTGAAAATCATATAAATATCCATATACATAATAAAGATATACTTTGTGATAGATTTATTAAAAAAAGAAGAAACAAAAAATAGTTCATAAAAAACTGGGTTTAAAGTTTTTCGTTTCTAAAACTCTACATATTATTTAACAAAAATAATTACTATGTAATCTTTATATATATATCATGCTAAAAATATATATATGTATATATATATATATATAGATATTTATGTATACTCCTCGTAATAGTTTTAATTAAATCTTTAACTAACGTGCAACATGGGTATTACGTGTTTACGCGCAATTCTTTACACGTGTACTTTCTTAGTATCTCGTTAAAATATTCAACTATAAGCTTTTTTGTACCATATTTTGTGTGTATCTTACAAGACTTATGTGCTAAAATCGCGATAAATGTTACAAAAAAAAAAAAGAAAAAAAAAATTAGAAACGAGTGACAAAAAACTTAAAAAAGAAAAACAAGAATTCGATATTAATATTGCATTAATCCAACTATGGCAAAAAAGTAATATTTGGTTGCACACTAGACAGACAAAACTCCCCGTACGAGAGATTTTTATTCTCACATAAAAAAAAAAAAAACGCATAAAAAGCTCTTTCTCGCCCTCAATTTTTTTTTTTTCAAAAATCACAAATGTCGATCACAAGAAAGCACTTACAAATACGAATACGTTCTCGCAAAAGTCATTGCGCGCGAGTCACCAAACGCACGCGCGAAATTGTTATATATCAAGGTTTTTTTTTGGATTGCTCCTTTCCCCACGTAATGATTTCGCAATTACAATCAACACTTACACATACTGTCCTTTAGACAAGTGACGAATACAAGTGTGTCTTCTTACACATGTGTGTTGTAATACAACGTATATTACTTTTATCCCTCCCCCTCCTCTCGTATAATATATAATTTACATGTATTAGCACGTCCATGTTTGATATACATATTATATATATATATGAACGAAAAAAGAAAATCGAAAAAAGATGGTCATGCATCTATTTGGCATACCTATTGCATTTTGTTGTACGAGGTCATTAAGTCAAGGCTGAAATTGTCGAGGTTGAGGGTGATTGAGGAATCGTCGATCGAGGACAAATCATTGTTGGCCATCAGTACGTAGTCCACGTCCGAACTTGGTTGTCCGACAGCTGGCTGGCCAAGACCCGGCGTGTAGCTACCACAAATCAAAACACAACCCCAATCACTGGCAATGCTCGGCAAAATCAATTAACGCAAGCTCAGAACTTTCATACATTCTTCCTTCGCATTCTTTAATTTTGGTTTTGTTTTTTTTTTTTGTTTTTGTTTTTGTTTCTAATCCAAAAGAAAAGGGAATTGTCTTGCTTTCGTATATTTTTTTTTAGGTGACCGATTATTAGCCGGAATAGAGCCGGTACAACACGGCAGAGCCAAGAGTAGCTTCCGCAAGAGGAGGGTACGAATGACAACCACAAGAGCCCCATCCGAAATCAATTTCGTAGATCGGTCACTTGTCGTTTTTGTTTTTTCGTTTTTTTTTTGCGAGAAATTAGTTGCAAATTGGTGTTTCTCGTTTTACTTTTTTTTTGCCATCGATTTTCTTTTGCATCGCACGGATAATAAAAACAAAACGGCAATATGGAACGCGGACAAACGACGTTAATTGCCAGCTGTGAGTGATTGGAGCTGCGTTTCGCAGGGTGGTGTCGGACTTTTGATTGTGGTTGTACCGGCTTGCTCCAGGCTGCCCTTGCTTTGTTTTTTTTGTTTTTTTTCTTTTTGTTTTTTTTTTTTTTTTATTTTCTTTTTTCTTACAAACACACATCTTACGTACTAACATTTCTATTGTATATCGTTTGAAAAATGTCTCGCCACGCAAATGTTTACGCTCTTTGTTTGTTCGCACAACGATATTAAAAAACACGCAAATACTTGTTCAAACTAGAAAAGCTGTATCAAAGCCTAAAAAAATAAGCCGACGCGTTAGAAAAAGTAGTCGTACAAAATACTTGGCAGTCGAGAAATCGATTAGTTACGCGCTAATTTCTCATCGAGATGTATCTAGAAAAAAAAAGAAAAAAAAAACAAACAAAGGAAGAAACGTCGAGTTTTTTCTTCGTGTGGTCCACAAACGTACAAAAATCGTATCGATAACACAAGCAGCATTTTGTTTGCTAAGGCAAAGTATGCGATCGCGTACGTTTTTTTTTTTTTTTTTCTAAGTCGATACTCGCGGATTTCGAACGCTCTTTTTCCGAGCGTAACGCAACGCACGCGTTACATGTGTCCGCGCGAAAAGTTATACAAGCACAATACTAAAAAACTGAAGTAGCAAATTATTAAAGAGAGATCAAAAAGAGTTCGTGTAATACTAGCTAAAAATTAGCTTAGACGTACTATTAACAATAAAGCTACGAAGTGCACACGTGTTACAAGTGGAGCTCAGTAAAGGGTAAAAGAGACAAGAGACGCATCGGCGTCTTGACGCTTTTTTTTTAATTTGAGTCCGTTTTCTACGTGAAGAAACGAACACAATTATCTCATTTCCGAGCTCTGACATAAAAGGCACTTATAACATTACGCGATTTCCAGTCTCTCTTTTTTTTTTATTAAGACTGGAGTTTGCGCGAGCACTCTCTCTCCTTCTTTTTTCGCATCACCGATATGTTAATACTCAGTAAGTACAACGGCACGGTGTTCAGCAGAATCGAGCGCTTGATGGAAGCGCTTTGCGATTACTTTGCCCGTCGTTGGCACGTATTTTCCAGTCGCAATAGATCCAATCACAGACAACGAGCGCGGAGCGTTCGAATTCTGCTGAACGCGGCCAGTGTTCTCTATAACTGACCTTAGACAATAGCAGACAGACAGACAGAATTGCTACATAGTTGCTGAGGATAAAAATGAGGACTGACAATAAATACGTGTGTCGTGGATAAGATTATATATGCCGGAGAAACGTCCAAAAAAAATTGAAATAAAATAGAACTATGACAACTGATAATTGTCAGTCGAACAACATCGAGCTTTAATTAGATGATAAAGCGGTTTAATCTTGGTTTTGTTTTTCTGAAATTCTATACTTATGCCGATATCAACAGAACCGTCAAGGCGTATATCTATCAAGCTCTATCACACATTTAGATAATATTCTTTCGTATAAATTTTCCGCATTTCTTCAAAATGCGGAAAGATAACATTTAACAAATTCTTAAGGTCTACGTCAAAAATCATATACGAACAACATACATTGATGAGTAAGGTAAATGTCCCCACAATAATCAGATATTCATTAAATAAATAAATTTCTGGATGTGTAAATATTAAATCAATAATTCTCAATGTTTTAAGTATTTTTTTTTTATCATTTCGCTACGACCAAATTAGACGTGGATAAAATATAAAAGATATAATACAATATATAAAATTAAAAAAAAAAAAACTACAAAAGTTTTGATCCCTTTATTTTAAACTTCGGTGCACAAACAAAAAACTAATTCGAAAAGGATGATTTTTTATATTCAATAAACAACATATACACGTCTTTTGTGTTTTGGCTCTGTGATCTGTTCTGCTACTCCGTTTCGTCTTCTCACGAGCTCGTTCAATTAATATAGATAGATTTTGTTGTAATTATATAAGCGTCCGGCACTTGTCCGATCGTTGGAACATTCACCCTACGCATGGTTAAATTTTTTCTTCGTGATAAACAATGATTTAGGCATTGCATAAGACAACATTCGAATAATTCGATATTGTCTACGAGGTACATGCAATTATCATTTCTCTGTATAAAAAGTAATAATTAAATTAATTAATGGGTAATTTATCATCTACTACTTTTGGTACTCGTGTTTCTTTCTATCTGCTTAATTGTTAAAAACTAAAGTAATATAATATAAATACGTTTACTTAAAAAAAATACAATTTTTTTTATTATTAATATTATTAAACCTCGTCTTCGCAAAATTCTTTGTCAAAAGATGCGTATAAAAAAAATAGTTTTTTTTTGTTTTTAACAAAAAGTTGTAGAAATACTTTCGTTCTCTTCCGTTCCTCTCTTTTCACTCCTTTCACGCTATTTTTCTACAGAGATTATGTTACTCAGAGATTTTTTATCTACAAAAACGATAAAATACAAAAAATTGAAAAAAATCATAGGATTAATAAAAAAAAAACATACTTACTCAAGTATATTATGAAAAACATAAATTCGCTATAAACTTTAATTAGTAAAACGACTAAAGAAATTTGTTAACGAGCTAATTAGCTGGAACGCTTAAAGAGTATTTCAGAAAACGAAATCAAGTGATGCGATTTCTCTTTCTGAAACCAAAATAAATGTCCAAAATCACCAAACATGCTAATTTTGTTTTCTTTGTTCTTTTGTTTTGCAAAAATGTTTTTGAAAGACAGAGCCTTCACTCTGTTTCAGGAACTGCGCTCTGCAACAGTCTAACTGAATTAATTCCAAAAAAAATTAATGTATTATCGTGCAGCATGATTGTTAAAATTTTGTTCATCGCGCAATCGCGTTTTACCTGTTTCTATATTTATAATACGTTCGTTATGTACAGAATGTTTGCTAAATCAGAGATGCAGATGATATGCGAGAAATTGTTTCTCGAAAATAATATCAGTTTTTTTTTTCCTGATGCTTGTGCGGAATTCGTGAAAACGCAAATTTTGTCAACAAAAATTAAATGGCCAAATTGGTCACGATCTATTCCGCACAATTCTCAATTGTTTTCCGCATGATTAAGCAGACATCCTCTTTGCCTGTGTTTGAGATTCATTTCTTACATCAACGATCTAAGATAACAAAAAATTATACAAAGTATGTTACCAAATACAAGGGCATTTCTGGAGCACGGAATAGCTTGTCGTGCGATTTAATTAGTGAAGATATCGAGTCAGGATTGTCGATAGTTTAGATTATTTAAAGAGACTGACCTCGATGCCACGGACGGCGTGTCGCGCGTTGCCGAAGGATCCGGGCTGTGTGCTTGAAACATGGTTTGAGGCGTCGCGGGGTAGCTGCCGCCCGGTCCACCCTGGCCCAAGCCCACTATGGAGGAGTGCGACGGAGTTTGATTACCGATACCGGGAGCGCTCCATCCTGGCACGTGCGTCACCAATAGAGGTTTGACGTATCCGTTTGTCGACGTGTTTTGGTTATCTGGCGGAAAAATAAATTCAGATCACGATATTGGGTCAATCCAGTTGCGTTTACTTTGAATAAGTAAAGCTTCGCGCAAAATGATACCGTTGTACGGCGTGTAATATTTGGTAAAGGCCTGAGACTTCGATATATCTGGATACAAGTACACCAAGTGCTGCAGATCAGCCAGACGGTCGGCCAGACTGCGAATAGCGAAGTCCTTGCTTGTGAAGGGCAAGAGCATGAAGATTTGATCGGGTTGGTCTGCGATAAAGCGCAATTAATGCTTTTAATGTTGAACTCAGTTGTACTAGATACGTTTGCCTTGTTTTTTTTATTATACCTCCAACCCAGGCGATAGTGATGCCGCCGAGCTCCGAGTCGGAAAACCGCATCAAGAAAGTACCGGGCGCATTGTTCATCAGCATCTCTTCTGCTTGCTTCTTCCGTATAAATCCAAGGATGAACCCCTCGTTCCACGGACCCTTCAGGTGCTCTCTAGTTAATTTCATCACAGCATAGAACCATTCCCAGAAAGTGAAGTTTCTTTCGGGCAACGGTTCTTTGCAAAACTGAGCCCAGCTAAGCATCGTGTTCGAGTAATCGTGCGTAGGTGAGTTTCCGGTGTGGCGGAACGCTTTTTCGGCGAGAAACCGCAGATTATCTTCGGTCAAAGAGCGCCCGGTCGCGTAATGAAACTTCATGTTCAGCGCGTCGGCTACCTGACTCCAAGGCACCTTGTCCGGTACCGTGAACGGAGTCCTGCCCGGTTCGGCAAAGGCGTTGTCCCAGGTGACCGTGGCCCACGCGTGCGGTTCCTGATTACCGTGCACGATCACGACTACAGGTAAGCTCAATGTCCAGACAGCGAATACTAATTCACCGCCGCCGACGCTGAAGTTCGATTGGAAGAGCAGCGAAAATTTCTCGTCCATCACGGACTCCGTGCCTTTCTTCTCCGCCCGTTTGATCTTCTTCAACTGCATATTACGAAAACTCACTGCCAGTTGTTTCGTCGACTGTAATGATAAATTGTGAAACATGAAAGTATGAAACCGATTTCAAGTAAAACACATAAAAATTTCTATTTTTACATTTTTCTAGTTTATGAATCTGTCGCTTTATAAATAAATAATAAATAAATAAATGATAAACAAGTAAACAATAAATAAATAAATAAATAATAAATGAATAAAATCACTTTCTTTTTTTGCGTCGCGTTGTACCTGATGGTACTCCATAGTTCCGGTGTTGTTCAAAATCTCGCCGCTAGCCTGCTCTTTGGACAGACTCTCGTTCTTCAGCAAGCAGTTGGCCTGGTGTTCGCTGATTATACTGACTTTCACTTGCGGCGGGTTCATGTGCACGTTCAGTTTCCCGCCGACGAGAAGACGCACCGTGCTCGTGAAACGCGTGTTGGTCTTCATAACTTGCGGCGGTTGTTTTTCGATGATAAAAGTACTCGTAACTAACGAACTCAAGAGCGAGGTAATGTGATTATTCAAAGGCATAAAAGTCTCTCTCATCACTGGTCTGTCAACCGAAAATCGGATTCTCAAACGCTCTGCTTCCTTTATTTGAGATCGAGTGCTCCAGATGAGCTCTGCGAGCCATTCGCACCACTCTTGAATAGTATCCAAAAGATGAAGGGCGAAAGAAGCGCCGTTACCTGACAACTGCTGATCCCTTTTCCATCTAAGCGAAACATCCCGATTATTATCTGGTTCCGTGAGAATGGGATCAATTCTTTGAGCGCGATAGTACCTGATAAGTTCGTCATCGAGGATCCTTGATTGCAAAGTGTGCAGTCTGTCAATCGTATCTCGCAATTTCTCATACAGTTGCAGACACATTTGAACTATACTAGCTAGTTTACTTTGCAACACACTCTCCAATTGTTCTTTTTGTCTGCGGAAAAGATTAATCAAGTTAATATGCAAGATACAACAATATTCTACGATAAACAAACTCGTATCGTCCCGTACTTTCTGAACTTTTTTTCTTGTTCCATTGCCTGCGGATTCTGCGGATTCAACGTCGTGCTTATTTGTTGGAGCACCGCGTTCGTCTTCGTGCAATCGTGATAGTGAATGGTGAACGATTCCATTTCCTGATCGAGATTTCGCACCTCCGTCCCGTTCTCGTAAACCCTCGTTTTCAGAAATTCGATTGTATGATCTATTTCCGCGTTCACGTCGCCCAGCACAAAATTTAACTTGTTGTTACATATAAAAAGGTCGTTCATTATTTGAGAATTTTGAGTGGCCTGCGCAACGAATTTCATATCGTGCACCAAGCAGTGTCTGATTATCTTGAACAACGTCACCGGATTGTGACTGTACTTTTCCTGTAACACGACGACAACAATTATTTATTATTCAATTATTTCAATCTGATTAAAAACGCGAGACGGACGGCAAATGCAACTTACGCGAAATCTGTCAGCAGTCTCTTTCAGCTTCATTCTTGTTATAAACATGTCCTGATTGGTCATTAGTGATGACGCTTTTGCTTCCAACTCTTGCAAAAGACTCGTAAACAGATTATTTAGAATGGGCTCGTTTTGCGGATTTTCTATCTCCATGTCATTGCTAAAATATTGAGATCTACGTGACGTTGATAAATAAAATAAATATTAGTTAATTTGTGCCGAATAAAATAATACATATCACAATAATATATAATACATATACAATTGCGTTATATAATTATATTATAATTACATTATATTAGACACATAAATTTTTTTTAATATCATTTAGTACTTATTAGTTAACGTATAAATAAAATAAATTATATTAGTTAATTTGTGCCGAATAAACTAATACGTCACATTAATATAACTTATAATTGTATTATATAATTATACTATAATTATATTATCGTACACATAATTTTTTTAATAAAATACCATTTTTATTTCTATATTATTTTTTAGTTAACGTATTTGTGTTAGTAATTCAATATAACGTGTGTATTGGTTAATTTTTGAAAAATTTCTAATAACGCGTCGTTAATTAAAAACAAAACAAAAAAAAAAAAACAGACTTTGCACGTGCCGTACTTACATCCTTTCTTCCAGCCATTTTGCTAGGAAGTGTCTCACTTCGATCGGAAAATGTTCGCCGTACGCAGAACGCACTTCCTGAAGTACTTCGGGTGGCAAATGCTGCGCTCTCGCCCACAGCGCCATTTCTTCAAGTACTTGTAACACTCGATTTCAACCTGAAATCAACAAAAATCGTCCCGTCAGACAATTGGTCCGTTAATTCTATCTTAATCAAAATCGTTCCGTCAGACAATTGGTTCTTATATTCTATTCTTAAGAAAACACATCAACACGTGATACGTACAATATATCACACCAATTAAATTAGCTCGTGAGACGATGAAACAGGGTATCGGAGCAGCCAAAACACGGACGTACGCGTATGATTTATTGAATGTAAAAAAAAACTATGAACACTTTGATCTCTTCATTTGGATCTTCTTCAGTGTGTGCAAACAAAAACTGGATTAAAATACAAATTGTTTATAAATTTGTCATGTTAGAAGCGACACTTTTTTTACGAATGCTTTGTGCTAAATTTTTATTTTAGTTTTTATTTTTGTTTGCATACCGAAGAAGATCCAAATAAAACACATTTGTTTTTATATTTCATAAATCACACACGCGTACGTTTGTGAATTGTTTTTCGTTTGTTGCATCTGTCTCAATACTCTGTTTCAATGTATTATAATTGTGTAATATACATCAATTAACGTGGCGCATCGCGATACAGATTGACTCATTGATGTGTTTGCTCGATTATTTGATGCGGTCGAAAACCTTTGGGTCCATTTCCGCACAAGAGAAATTACTGATCTCCGTGCGATATCGCGTACCGCTTCTCAAAAACGGTTCTTGCTTAACATAAATAAATAAATTTAAAACAAATAGTTTCTTTAGACGAAATCGTGACCATCAGTTCACCGTTGTCTGTCGTGTCTAGCTAGTTTTAAATTTGATTTTCTCTTCTCAATATTTTATTCGGTTCTACTTTTTGAATACATTGACCGTTTGAATTTGTTTCATTGTCGTTCTGATGTGCAGTTTATTGTAATTTGTTATTCACAAATACATTGGGAGATAAAATCCGACCCCCAAGGACCGAGAAGGACGTCTCAAGTTATAAATCACCCAAAGAACCGGAAATTCCTGATGAAAATTTGTTTATTTTCTTTAACGAGAGATTGTTGCAGGTCCCAGGAATCCCAAGGATCCCAAGGATCCCAACAACAACAGCGAGAAAGACCTCCCAAGGAAATGTGAGATTTTTTCCAAATAATCTTTTACACTTTGACCCAAGATCTTTTTGGGACACATGATCAGATAATCCCGTGAATTTTTCACCAACATAACACGAGGCCGAACTGTGGCAAATTTCGCGTGAGAAAAGCTGGGTAACGAGCGGGTAACGATTCGAGGAATTTTTGCCAGCTTACGCGCTTACATTACATGTGTGAATCATGTGTCGCTGAGATAAAACGAGAAAACGTGCGTTGCCACTTTGCATACACGCGTTTATTGCGGCGAGAGAAGTTCGCTCTCGCTCTCTTCTCCTGAGTGAGTCAGTCAGACATTGCTCTGGATTGATAAACGAAAATGAAAACACAGAAAGATCGCAGAAACGCGCGCAATCTCTAAAGGACGAGACTCGGCGCGCCGAAAGCGAAAGCACGCGCGCTATCAATAGATTATACCTGCTGCGCGAAATACCTCGCCGCAGGTACCTGCGCCGCATTCGTCCGGTGCGCGACGACGGCTCTCCGAGGCGCGATTCGACGTGCGAAATCGCGAGAAAACGTTGTCGCGTTCGAGATAACAATTCGCGCATTGGTCGCGCGCCGGAAAAAAAATCGCCGTCACAGAAAAGCGCATCGCACTCTGCGTAACAGATAAGGGCGCGAGGAAAGAGAGAGAGAGAGAGAAAGCGACGTTGCGAGAGAGAGAGAAAGAGAAGAAGAAACAGAGAAAGAGAGAGGGAAAGAGAGAAACGACGACGACGACGACGACGACGAGAATGAGGAAAGAGAGAAACGGAGAAGGAAAAGACTCTCGAGAGAAGTGTTGCATGCGAGTTTTCGGTGTTTGACCACCAACAGTACGGGATTATTGTGCGATTTTTTTTTTTCACGGTGCTCACCTGCTGCTGCCGGGTTGTTTCGCAGAATCTCCTTCTCCGTTTTCAAGAAGATATTACGACGCAACAACGTCGTCGCTCCTCCTCCGCCGCCTCCTTCTCCTCCCGGTTGCCGTTTTTGCCGCCACTACTGGTCGTTTCTGTTTCACGAACGTCGCTCGTTCGTTGTTCTGTTCGTTGTATCTATAACGGGGGGATGACCTTCGGTAATGCTGACGCGCGGAACCGAGCCGCAGGCTATAAATTTTAAGTGGCCGCGCAAATAATCGCGCACACCGTGCTAATCGTACTTATCGCAGTTGTCGGCTCGCACCAGATCTCATCAATAAAATCGTCCGTCGGGGGAGTAAAACGTTTTCCTCCGTGTGTGAGTTCTCTCTCTCTCTCTCTCTCTCTCACTCCGTTCTCGTTGTCGGCCTATCTTCTTTTCTCTTCGTCTCGTTGTCGACTAGGTTTCCTACCTAGTGCCACAACTTCCGCTCCAATCCGCTTGGCTCGCCAGCTGAACGGAAGACCGACACGGGCGAACGCGCGACGACGGAATGAAATGAACGGCCCAGGGAGGAAAATTCTCGGAATCTACTACCGTAAATGGCGCCAGTGGGGGGCGGCGGAGGCGGTGGGAGACGGTCACGTGATCCGCAGGCATGCGTCGACGTTGTGGAATCGCGCCATCGTGATTTATCGATAATCCTCGCTGTCGACGCGCCACAACTGGTCTGTTTCTCTTGGCCTGCCGCTTCTCGTCTACGTCTTTCTCTTTCTCTCTTTCGTCTGTCGGGTGTGCGAATAAAGAGAAAAAAAAAAAAAACCAAATGAAATAAACGCTAATATGCGCCACGTGTGTCTGTGCGTGAGCGCACGCATATCACTTAACTATATTAAAACCCAACGTGGCAAATATATGTGTTTTATGTATATGTAAAATTTTAATATATTGAACGGAGCAATTGGGAGATGAAAAAACAGAGAGAATCATGTAATGTTTGTGGCTTTAAAAAAAACTTGAACTCATCGGCACGTTCTTTTTATCATTAAAATTGATAACTTGGCAGAAAAATATCGAGACGTCACTTATCGATACTAATTTAGCAAAAATACTTTTCCAAAGTAGTTTTGCAAAACTCGTCAAATATTTGTAATAATAAAACCAGGGAATTGTGTACCAAGCCTTGTTTTTTTTTTTTTTTTTTTAAGAAGTTTTATCTTATTTTTTCTATTTCTTCTCTTATAAAAAATCTTTGATGGCTGCAATATTATATGGAACACTGTAATATACTTCATATACATTCTAATAATAAAAACCTACGACATAAAGCCTCTAGTGAAATCCTGAAGAGGATCATTCCTGGTAGTCGTTCTGTTAAAAGAATTATGAAAATCAGCGCGTTTCCAACCTTTGAACTTTTGCAGAGAAAGTGGAAATTATAATGAAACAAACACGCATAAAAATTCTACAAAATCTGAGAAGCCGCGTCTATGTTCTTTGAATGTATTGTATTTTGACGTACACACACAAGAGGACATTTCGCACAACTACTTGTTTTTTTTATAAAATATAATTTATTTAAAAATACACTGGAAGAAGCAATTTCTAGACTTTACAATCATGTTAAGTGAAAAAATCTACGACCGCAAACTTCATAGAAAAAAAAATATAAATATATAAATTGTTCTCAATCATGTGGGAGTATTTTTGTTTTTCTCTAACACTACGTGTATATATTATATATAATTTTTCTTATATAAACGTATAAATATATAATACTCTTTCAAAACTCTTTCTCTGATAAAAATCAATTGTATAAAATACAATTCCGTATAAAATATTTTCCTCAAAGGCAACGTAAACATATAAAAATACTGTTTAAATGTTAAAAAGAGAAATTGATTAGATAAGATAAATCAAAGATTCTCGAAGATATGTGATATAACACACTTGGCAATATTAAATATTACAAAGCACGCATGCCGTGTAAAATGAGCGGCGGTAACGTGAGAAGCACAGCTCCGATCAGGTAAGTCAAAGAACTTCCGATGCACCAGAATGCTGAAACATTAGAAGAACCAGATTGATAAAAACAACATGTAATATTTGCTTTCACATTGTTCTTCACGTTCCTAACAGGACGTACCTAAGGATGCAATAACAGGTCCGCAAGCACGTGCCAATGCCCCGAGAGAACGAAATATTCCGGTTATCGCACCTTTTTGATATTCAGGTCCGATACGTGTCACCAGAGTCATCATGCAGGTAACAACCATAGCAGTAGCTGCAGGAAAATAGATATATAGCATAAACCTGCTGTACAATATGTCGTTGTGTTAATGACACCGTGTTTTTTGACAATAAAAAATTAAATTTGTCAATTTGTAAAAATAACAAACAAACAAACATCATGTGCTTACAAACTGCAAAAAGAAAAATTCCGGTACACAAGAGAAGTACGCTAGTGGCAACACCGATACATATAAACGCGGGAATTATCAACCACAAACCCTACAATAATTGAACCAATATTATTAAAATAAAGAAACATAGAAGACAAATATATCGAAAAATTTAGAAAACAAATGTTTTTACCAGCTCGCTAATGGCTTTTGTTTTATTTGGGGGAATGTGTCGCACCCAGCCACCCTGCAGAACTGCCATTGTCAGTCCGATTCCGAGAAACATCCATCCCTGTTGCATACTTGTAAACTTGAATGTGTGATGAGTTAAAAATGTCAGAGTAAATTCCAAACCACTGTAGATAAACAGGTATATAAAATACGCCCGGCCCAGTGTTTTCAAATCTTGTTGATCTAAAGACAAAGAGTTTTTTCACTGCCATTTTCAAGTTTTCTCATAATTGATACGTGCTACACATGTCAGAAATAAAATACCCTGGCGACTCAGGCCGGACACTCCATTAAATTGAAAAAGATCTACAGGATTAATGTACGAAATCGCGCCTGACAATCCCTTTACTAGCATTGTCGCTCTGTGTTTCGACGGTAGACTTTCCTTCAGATAGTAAGCAACAAAAATTAAGTCACTTAAAGAGAGAAACAGAGCAAACAGAGCTGGTAACACATACCACGTGCCTTCTCTGTTACCACTCGAAATCCATGCAAAAAATGCTCCTATCATTGGTCCCACCACAAAACCTATCGAGAAAGCTATTCCCACAAATGCCTGCGGGAAGAAATTCCACGATTCAATCGATTGAATCTCTCTTATTCATCCAAATTGATAAAAGCTTGTTATCTATTTTTTTTCTCACCATTCCCTTTCCTCTCGTTTGCGGAGAAGTAACGTCACTGATAATAGCCATTGACAGGCTAATATTTCCTTTGCTAATGCCGCCAACAAATCTTGCCAATACAAATATAGCGAAATTTGCAGAAAAAGCCCATAGAAGATACGAGAGCGAAATGCCAGTTAAACACAGAAGCATCAGAGGTTTTCGTCCATAAATGTCTGATAATGCTCCAATAATTGGCGAGCCTAGAAACTGCAGAAAGGAATACATAGAACCTAAGAAACCTACAAAAAATTGGACAAACTTGTTACCTCTTTATTAGTTTCAATATTTTGCAAAACATTTTACATATCTCTATAGAAATAAACTATGTATGTATGTAGACCTTTACAAACCTCCGTAAAGAACTGTGCTGACTTTATCTGGTGCATCAAAAAATATCTGTATGCTTTTTATATAGCTCAAAATAGTAGAGTACAGTCCGTGTCCATTTTCTATCTCTTTGTAATGATCCAACAAGGCAGGCAACAGCGGCAGTATCATTGTAAATGCCAGAAGATCCAGCAACAAAGAAGCAAATACCACCTTTACTGTATTATCCTTCATTTTAATATTTTTTATGTACAAAGTTTGCTTGTCAAACTTTCTATAGATAAAGCGGTATAAAAGTTTCAAAAATATTGTGCAACAATTTTTAATTCTCTTCCTCTTTATTCCATGTATTGTTCATTTCCGCACGAATAGCAACTTCCTCGACGATCGACGACAAACTGGGTGTGTATAGAGGATCTCGATTTTAAGTGACAGATAACAACTATAATTGCGCAAACAACGGAGTTTCCAGCGAATCTAATGAGTATTTATGTATGGAGGACTACATAATTAACGTTGAATAGTGCAATTCAATAAGATCCTCATGTATCTCGTGGACAGTATCGTCTCGGAGTCGCAGGACACCAAGAAGAAGGACCGCTTCTCGATCCTGTCATCGCGACACGAGATCGTCGAGATAGATTTGTGTCAAAAGTGAAACGCTTTAACCTATTATCCGACATTCTCTCGCGGCGTCACGTGTGTGTGTGTGTGATGTACAATTCAGGTCATAGATGTATAGTCTAGTATTAAGCCAATACCTGTGAATGATATTGAATGCGATATCACTCATCCACACCTGACTCTTATGTAATATTGCGAAACTTTAGTTATATTGTTGCGCAATCTTACATTGTCGCAAATTGTCATACATATGTAATATATATTATATATATTGCATAATACATCATCGATATAATATATAAACATTAATATATATTATATATTAGTATATACACATAAAATATATTATATACGTATTATATAATATATAATATATTACATATGTGTATCTTTTGCAAAAATGTGCTTCATTTTTTAATCACACCAGTAACAGTAATACTTATTACTGCAACCAGTAATACCTATTACTGCATCTGACAGTCCGCAGTCTGTGCAAAGTGAGACGGGAAAATGAGCACACCATAATGATTAATTTTACACTATAATGTACTTTAGTCTGAATAAAAATACATATATAAAAAACTAACATTTGTAGTTGTTATTTCTACCTTCTATCTATCCAAAATCCTGAAATTCTTTCAAAAATAAATGAAAATCAGAAAAACATAATCAGCAAAAAGATACCACAAAGTATTAAGTGGGCGAAATAATTTCAAAAAAGCCCCCCCCACTGACACGCCCAAGACACGCCCACTGACACGCCCACTGAAACTTTGTGCCACTTCTTCGCTAGTTATGTTCTCCTGATACAAATTTTCCAAAATTTCCGAGAAATCCGACAAATTCCTGGAAAAAGTATCAGGAGCACGAAAATTCTTTGTGCCACCTCCTCGCTGGTTATGTTCTCCTGATACAAATTTTTCAAAATTTCCGAGAAATCCGACAAATTCCTGGAAAAAGTATCAGGAGTACGAAAATTCTTTGTGCCACCTCCTCGCTGGTTATGTTCTCCTGATACAAATTTCCCGAAATTTGACGGATTTTTCGGAAATTTTGGAAAATTTGTATCAGGAGAACATAACCAGCGAAGAGGTGGCACAAAAAATTTTTGTGCTCCTGATACTTTTTCCTGGAATTTGCCAAATTTCTCGGAAATTTTGGAAAATTTGTATCAGGAGAACATAACCAGCGAAGAGGTGGCACAAAAAATTTTTGTGCTCCTGATACTTTTTCCTGGAATTTGTCAAATTTCTCGGAAATTTTGGAAAATTTGTATCAGGAGAACATAACTAGCAAAGAAGTGGCACAAACTTTCAGTGGGCGTGTCAGTGGGCGTGGCTTGGGCGTGACAGTGGGCGAAGCTTTCTTGGAAGTATTTCGCCTGCTAGTGTAAAATATTACAGTGTGCTCATTTTCCCGTCTCACTTTACACAGACTGCGGACTGTCAGGTGCAGTAATAAATATTACTGTAACTGGTGTGATTAAAAAATGTAGCACACTTTTAAAAAGA